TCATCACTTCTTGAAACTATCTTAGACATTGAAGAATGAGATTCTGACTCTTTGATTTCATTTGTCTTCTCTGCAGTCTCAAGAAGAGTATTACACTCTTTCTAACTCAATGACTAAAATAATCTTTTCAACACTCTTCTTATATCATCTCTGTTAAGATGATTAATCTGATCAATCACTTCTCTTATATCTGATGTTCTGAATACCTTTCTTGAACTCATTGTCACAAGTTCTCTAGATTTCAACAAAAATTTTTTATGATAATGAGAATGATAATAAAAAGATAATAAAAAAGAGAAAAGAAAAATAAGAAGAGAAGAGTAACTGATTGTATTATATACTTATGAATTATTTATTCATATCACTCTCAGCCTTTCAACAGAAGATCTGTCTCTTTATCATTTTTAATTCTCTTATTCTCTTTCATCTGTGTTCACTCTGCATTTTACAGTTCTTCATCTTTTATCTATTTATTCATTCTTATGACTTCTATCACCTTGTTATTTCAGACTCTTTATCTCATTTATAGTCATTGTTTCATTATCATCTCATTGTACTTATATAATATCTGTGAAAGATAAAGATTCTCTATAATATCTATTATCTTATTGTCTCAGACTCTTTATCACTGTGTCATTATTATCTCATTATTTCAACTTCTTTCTTTACTCACTTCTCATACAAGGAGAATATTAACCCACATCTGAAAAATGCCTAACTCATTTCTTATTAGGTTTAGCTTTTTTTTCTGTCATCTCATTTTCAGACATTTACCTCTTTTCAGACAGAGAGACTGTGATATTCACTCTTGCTACTTTCTGAGACTTTTATCTCTTTCTTTCTGAGACTTTCACTTCTTTCTGAGACTTTCATCTCTTTCTTTCTGAGACTTTTATCTCTTTCTTTCTGAGACTTCTGCCTCTTTCTTTCTGAGGCTTTCACTTCTTTCTTCTGTAAAAGTCAATCACAATAAACAAACAAGCATGTATATATATATATATAGAGGCGTCCGCCCATCTCCATCTTGAAGAATAAGACAAGATTTACCTTTTTACATGTACAATACGTGATTGGCATACACTACAGATGATGTATGCTGCATGACCTCTATATTTTATCTTTTTAGCGCGAATACTTCTAGTAGTTAACAGTACATATCATGCCAAGCTGCAAATATCTGAATAATCACCTATGAGTACTTATTCTTACATCTCTGTGAGTTGCATCTTCTGTGAGAAAAAGGCCACTGAAACTCAGTTCTCATTTAACTGTAGTTGTAAGACTATTTCTGAAATTATAAAGAAGAAGACATCTGTCTTCAATCTGATTAAGAGTAAGAAATCAAAGTGAAATAGTATTACTGTGTCTATAAATATCTGTTTCAATCTTATAAAGACTCTGTGAGCTTCTGAGATAAGAAAGTTCTCACAGTTCTCTCTTCTCAACAATCTTTTCATTCTCTATTTATAGAATAACTTCTTCTTGTTTTCACTCTTCAGCATGTCTATAAGAACTAAGAAGATTCTTATAAATGCAAAGATAAACTATCTATAAAAATTCACAAAGCTCAGAAAGATCTGAATCTTATAAATACTAGTTAACTCTGATTATAATAGAATAGTCTCAATCTGTAAAGATTTCATCTGAATATCATCTACAGTGATTACATATTCTAGAAAATTAATCTGATAAGTACTGAAGTTACACTTTATAAGCTTAATATACAGTTCTGTCTCATCTAAGATCTTCAATATACTTTGTACATGCTCAGTGTGTTCTTTCTTCTTTATAAAGTACATCATCATATTATTCAGATATATTATTACAAAGATATTCAGATATACACAAAGTGTTTTATTAATAAAAGACTGAAATGCTGTGAAGATATTAGTCAGATTAAAAGACATCACTAGATATTTAAACAATCTCAGTGCAGTTCTAAAGATAGTCTTTCATTCATTCTCAGACTGTATTCACAGTCATGTATATATATTAATCATATTCAGTTATATAAATATAACAGCTCTTATAAGACAGTTAATCACATTCTTAATCAGAGATAGAGAGTAGTAACTCTTTATTATCTTGAAGTTCAGATTATAATAGTCTATATATAATCTGAGATCTTTATTCTTCTTCTTCATGAATATTATAGAGACTTCTGTGAAGATCTGTAAAGATCAGATAAAGTCATTCTTCAGATTCTTCTTTAGATAGATTTATAAGATCTCTGTCTTATAATAAGAGAGCTTATAGATTGATTCTTAGAAGAGTTTCTACTCTTCTATTAAATCTATTATCAGATTCTTCTTATAATGAGAGAGAAGCTTAGCTGTCTTTACTGAGCTGAATATCTCTGTAAGATCTCAGTATTTCTCTGATATCTAAAGCTCAGTTTCTATAATTATAAGATTCTCAGACACTTATAAAGCTATTATATAGATGAGCTTATCTTCTTTAATTAACTCTGCAGCATTAACTGATTCTATCTCTGTAAATAAGTCTATCAACACTGATTAGAAGTATAAACCTGACTTATAAACAGCTATATATGAATTGTGTCTTTGAAGTTATACAAGTTTCAAGTATATATTATCTGTGATATCTGTGATAATTACAGTTTCTGTAAATCTTCTTCAGATTTCAGAGAGATCTTACAATTCAAAGATAACTCTTATAAGTCTCTCAGCTCTCAGATCTGAGTTTTTATATTCTGCTTATTATAAGAGCAGATTCTTAGTTTTCATCTTTCATCTTATTTACTCTGTGAGCTTTAGAGACATTACAGTGATCTGAGATTCTAAGTTTATCAATACTTTTTATACTTATAGAGCAGTAGTACTGCAGTGTAATCTCTTCTTATAAGTAAGTATTTTCATTGAGAAAGCAACAGATTCAGATATCAGCTTTAAGACTCTTAAGAAGACTGTTACTAACTCTGTCTGTAACTTCTTAAATTTCTATTTTAATTTATTCAGACAGTTTGTGCAGAGATATTCTAATTTAGAATAGATAAAGCAAAGTCTCTTTTTCTTAATCTCTCTATTATATACTTTATTTATAAGAGCTTATAAAGCTCTCTCTCTCTACTCAGTAGTCAGATATAAATCTCTCTATATCTTATTATCTTTTTCTAATAAATCTATTCTCTGTTATTCTGATTCTTACAGAGCTGATTAATAATCTACTCTCTATAAGTCTGTAACTCTCACAGTAATCTGTAAGTAATGAATAAGAGTTATCAGTTTCTTCAGAGTTAAGAGCTTAAAGTCTTACTTAATAAGCTTGTTCTGTATATCTTTATTCAGTTTCTTTATAAATATTATTATTCAGATCTTATTTCAGAGCTCTGTTTTCACAGATCTTAATTCATATCATAATTTTATAAAGTGCTGTAAGTAGTCTTTATCAGATTTCTTATCTCTTTTTCTAATATTAATGATTATAATTCAGATGTTCTCTATTCAGCTCACAGAGTTTTTTAACTTATTCTCTAAATAGATCTTGAGAACAGATCAGTGAGATCTCTCATAATTATTCTCTAAATAATTTAATCAGTTCTTAACTTCAGTGTAATAAAGATCTGTTATTATATAGATAACAGCTTCTTCATCTTTCATATCACATAGTTAGACTTATGAGTTAATTTCAAATATAAACTTGTAAAAGCTTTTATAGATTGTAATTTAATAAGTAATTTTAAGTGATTATAACTTAAGAAAGTTTCTTTTCAGTTTATAAGTATCTCTGAAGATTATGTCTAGAGACTCAGTTCAAGAATGTTTATAGATAGTAAGTATTTCTTATAGAAAAATAGCTTAATCTTATAAGAAATACTCAAGAATATTCTTCACTAAGATTGATTTATTCATGAGTTTGAAGAGTTTCTCTGTTACAGATATAGAGAATAATATCTCATAAGTAATTAATAAGTTCTCTGAGACTTCTTTTATAGAGATTATTCATGATTCAGATAACTGCTTCTGAGTGTCTGTAGTAAAGTTCACAGAGATTGAAGTATATAAGTTTCTAGTTCTTTCAGTCATAATAGACAGTTGTTAACTGACTGAGCTTGAAATGTAAGAATAAGTACTCACAGATAATTATTCAGATATTTACAGCTTGACATAATATATACTATTAACTACTAGAAGTATTTGCAGTAGAAAGATAAAATGTAGAGATTAAATATATAATAGTATTCAAGCTGAGTTATAAATAGTATTCATGAACTTCAGTCTATATAGTTGTGTGTAGTCAAGGGCTGCTAACTCTATTGATTACATGAGAGATAGAAATAGAGGTAAAGAATCCGCGAGGAGCGGGATTTCTTACAACAGTCATGATATTAAAGCTGTACTTTTTTAAAAAAGTGAAGATCTGTATAAAAAGAACGAGTACACACGGACGCACTGAACAGGCCCTTAGTATTATTCTTCAATTATAGATGTATCATATTCATGTATGCAGTCAGAGACTATAACATCTATCTGAGAACTGATGAAAGTTCTCAGGATTTTTCTACTACTTTTCAGTGATTATTATTATTATTCTTCAATTCTAGATGTATTATATATGCAGTCAAAGACTACAATATCTATCTGAAAACTTTCAATTCTCAGAGTTTTTTTAATATTTATACAGCTAATTATTAATATATTATACATTTGTCAATTTCAAATATGCAAAATCAGAAAATTCCAGCTCAGAATACAGAAACTTTTTACAAATTACAGTATTTTCAACATCTTCTGATACTTTGAAATTATTTAAAAAATAACATACTCAAAGAAAGAAAAGAAGTCTTAAAAATAAATATATTAAACATATAAATTGAAAGAAAAAGAAAAGAAAATATAAAAACAACAATAAAAAAAACATATTCAAAAATAGTGTATAACTGTTTTAACAGATTATATCTGATTTCTTTCTAGTTCTTCATATTCACAGAGTTTTGAATTTAATTATTTGCCGGATTACATAATCGGCTGGCAGCCGATCTTATCTCCAGCGCCGAGGAGCAACTCTAAATGAAATCAACTTGTTCTCAAATTCCTCCGTTACTACACCACGAAACGCAACATCTAGGTTCCTTTTAAATATCTGTTGGTGTCCGCTGAGAGTCAGAAAGATTAAAAAAAAGGTTACATACATTCTTAGTATATACCCTTTTTTGCCCATCTAGGGTTGTGGCCACGGCCGCTTCGGTTACGCCGCCCTGTTTCGTATAAACTCCGTCAACCTACGCAGTTCTTTTACCCTCCAGTATCAGACTGCATCCCTGTCGAGTCGGTGTTATACATTTCATGAGGCTTTAATGTATGGCCATACGTTATCATAACTGCCCCTTTTGTTAACGGCGCGACTGCGCCCATTATCTGGCCATGTCTTCTTCCTCCGTTCAGACGCAGCGGCTGTTGTCCATAGTAGGAGCAACGTTTGTTGCCCTAGCATGCGGAACAAATGTACGGATACCTATGTCATTAAGTTGAGTGATCGCGGACTGTCTAACATGTATGCAGTACGTATATTCAGCATGGGCTCCTCAGTTTGCTGAACGGTTGAAGTTGTCATCTACCGAGAGCAATTTAATTGCATGTATCACCCGACTCAATAACCCATAAGACGCTCTGCTAACATGCTACAGGGGACTGCCGGGAATCTTGGAATGTATGCCACTGGGATTCCAGTAGGTCTTCTCGTTGATTCGAAGGGCCCAAGGCCTGGCATTTTGATAGGGATAGTGGCTCTTGGGTTGGGCTATTTTCCACTTCATCGAGGTAGTTCTTTTCTCGTCAGAGTTTGAAAAGCTACACATAGCCAGTAACTAATTTTTCGGTAGCCTATGTATCTGGTCAGGGTTCTATGGGAGTCCCGACATTGAGTTTCTTCATGCTCCTCTCCGGCGTGGGAAGCGGTTCTGGGTTTTCGGGAGCGATCAAAACGGGTATGACATGACTGTCTGCTAACGAGTGGATGGCCAATTTATCATCGCTAACGGGACCACATAGCTGCATCCAACTTCCCAGACCATCGCGGCACGGCAACAGCTTTCCCATTAGCTGCTTTTGGGTTGAGCGCCTTCTTCTTTTCAACGCTCTCGGCGTTTGCCTTCCCAGATAATACAGGTCAATTTCTGTTGTTATTGGCTGTTGGCACCCCGACTATCCTGTTCGTGTGTTTCTTCTTTGTTCGACTTATACCGCGATCTCCTTCATACACTTCTCTCCCCTCGGAGTCAAGCCAGTTCCACGGAGCCCAGTCGCGGGAAAGCCATCACAGAGAGTCCTCAGAAATAGGTACGCCATATGAAACCTCCAACCCCAATGCCCCTCAAGAGACAACCATAGGACCTACGTACCATTCGGAATCCTCTTCCCCCAAGTTAGATCCCAATGAAACGTCATCATTGGTAGTTCGATCTCTTTCCCCAAGAAGCTCCAACGACTCGCTCTACGATGAAAACACTTCCGTCGATCCTAGCCGTAACTCACTATATGTAGATGTCCGTGGTTGGTCTATGATTTCCACTGTGGAGTTTTGGCAGCTGTTTGTACTTCTAGGGCTGTTCACCGGGATTGGGTTGATGACAATAAAGTTAGTAATTTCTATTCCGCTCTCAGAGGTGAGAATTGAAGCTAATGAAGTACAGTAATATCGGTAACAACGTAAGAGCCCTCGTCCGCAGTCAAATTTGTGCGTTTATTAACAACAACCATTGTTGCAGGCAAAAGCCCTGTGGAAATACTATGACGACACTACGGATTCCGAATTCGTTCAGAAACGACAGACGATGCACGTGTCTGTTTTGTCCATGCTTAGTTGCGTGGGGCGGCTGTTGAGCGGTATGATTCTCAACTCTGGCCATGTTTTTGACATACCAAGAGATACTGACGAATGTAAAATTTCTTCATTTATATAGGCATTGGTTCGGATATCCTTGTGAAAAGGCTCCATATGTCCCGTTTTTGGTGCCTATTTACATCGGCCGTTATCTTCTGCACAGCGCAGGTTGCCGGGTTCATGATTTCAGATCCCCATCTGCTTGTCGCCGTTTCGGGACTCACTGGACTGGCTTATGGCTTCTTGTTCGGTGTCTTCCCCTCCCTTGTTGCCCACACCTTCGGTGTTGGCGGCATATCTCAAAACTGGGGAGTAATGTGCTTTTCACCAGTTATCTGGGGGAACATATTCAATCTGCTATACGGTCGCATATATGACACGCATTCTGTGGTGTTGCCGGATGGAGAACTCGATTGCAAGGAGGGATTGAAATGTTATAGCACCTCGTACATTATTACATTTTACGCCGGGCTTGCGGGATCCGCAATAACTCTGTGGACTATTTGGCATGAGAAAAAGGTTCTCAGTCGTTTGAGTGGGAAGGGATTCCATGAACGAATTGCCTAACTTTTGCGCGCGCACCCCGGACCCTACACACGCGACTCGATCTCCAACTACCGGAGATACGAACTCCATTCTTTCGTCATTATTTTTGAAAGGCCATCGCGAACTTTATTGCAAGTCACTCTTTTGCAGTAAGCCTTCCGATATGGGCTCTCGTAATCAGCGATTACATTACCACCACCGGCATGTCGACATGTCGGCTTGAACGCGAGCATCCTCATTCTTTTATCGTTGTTTCTACCCCGCAGGTCGGTTCTCCACCTTCATCCATGTCTCGGGATGGACATTATCTTCATTCCTTTTGGCGTTTTTCGTTTTGACATTTTTGGGTCAATGCTTGCTAAGGCCAGATAAACTGGCGGGGTATCTTATTGGCGTTCCTTCTCCGGTAGACTGATACTTTTTAGATCTGGAGGTTCAATCGATTGAATAGATCAATAGCATGTTTTGGATCTATAGGCAGTATGCATTATTTAATTACATTTAGAATTCAGATTGAAATTTGATTCTCTTGACTTCGCACGTTGTTTGAAATGTACAGTACATGTACAATGTACAGTCTATTGTCCTATTTTCTCCACACTTTTGGAAGCCTAGTATTGACAGTTAACTGTTTGGAGTTTACGTGCCCATGAATTTTTCACGAAATTTTTCTCAGGAGGTAGGTGCAATCTTGTTAAATCTGCAATTGAATCGTCCAGCGATCGTTTTGAAACCAGGAAAATTGACATCCACAATGCAACCAGGGTAGAACTATATAAAACGCCGCATTTCGCAGTATGCTATGCCAGAAGGAAAACTGGTTTCGACTTGTTCCTCTACATTGTCATGAAGTTCATATTTCACCATATTCGCACCTATCCTTCTTAATATCCTCGTCAGGTTCGTTACTCAGTCCCGCATCCTCCGATCTCAATTGCCAGCCATAGAATGCCATCACCACAACGAGTCCAGGTTGGACTACGCAGGGTAGATATGTTCCCAAGGCCGCTAGGAAACTGTTGTCGCAGAGCATCAAGAGCAAACCCATCCCCCCTCCGCTAACTGCCAGCATTCCCACTCCGATTAACCTAATTATTAGATCCAACAAACATAGTGGTCCGGTGCCACTTCGTTTTCCATGGGCTGGGTCGTAGTTAGCTATTAACAGCGCGGTGGTGATGCCTATCGCGGTGGCCACTAAAGGGGCTGAGAACTTGCCGTATGGAATGTGGGATGCCCTCGTAACGGAATTGCAATGGCAGCCATTTCCATCTCGTCCCGCTCTGTTCATTGGTTAAAAATGCACATGTTGTGGCTTGCATAACCACTTATCTCTATCGATTGACTCCTGCACTCGGTTGAAGAGTTTTGGTTATTTAAACTGAACAGAAAGTCCTTGACTTAGGGTGAAACAGCTCTGCACCTTTTGTAGAGGTGCTTGCTTCCTCGGTTTCCTCACAGGCTCTCTACGTTGACTGACGTGGCTATGACTTTTTCCTTTCGACAAATCAATTGGCCCCCGGGGGGAAAAAGGCTGCTATAAAGGCGGACATTCTTTTTAAGCCACAGGCCTCCGTCAAAATGCAGGTCTTCGTCAAGACCTAACTTACATGTATATTCAATATCCCAAAAACCAACCATATGCTTTCTATAGCCTGCAATTGCTCAAATATAAAATAAGTCCCGCTTCGCCTCCTGTAGGAAGTGTACTTATTTTATAATAGTCCTACCAAGCCTTACCCACTTATCCAATTCCTTCTCCCGCACCAGGTGGAGAATTCTTTTTAAAGTCCCCGTCTTTGGGTTCTGAGAACCAACCATGAGGGAAGATACCACCGGGAAGCGATCCCCAAATTCTCACCAGAATGCGATCATTTCTCAACACGCGATTCAACCCATCCCAGAAGAAAATCTTGTTAACGAAGTACGAGGAATGTACGCGGGCTTGGTTATGGTCGAGAAGAAGTGCCTCAAAATACATCACCCATCCCGCTTGAGCAGTGATCTATCCTCGACTCCATGGCAAGCTCTTATCAGGCTGCACAGGACCTTGCTTCATGAACATCATGACTTCCTTTTAGCGTCACAACACCCCTCGCCTGGCCCAACTCTCAGACATCTCACCGTCAAATATTCAACACATTCAACACCGGAGCGAATGGGGAGACACGGGATTCATTCGTTCTTGGAAATTTTGCGCCAGCGTCTCCCAACCTCCATGGATCATATGCTATCATTCATACATGTAGCATATTGTTTTATGTCATCCCCTATAGAGCTTGCCCCTGTTTTCGAGGACACATGGATCGAATGCCTTGGCGATGGGGCTCGTTGTAGAATGGTGATTGAAGATATCGAAAATAGCGATCGGGAGTACCGCAAGGCGGATGGACGCACGGAGAGGGTTCGACATCACCTGGCGGTTCTAGCGCGCCCAAACATACCCCAACAACTACCCCGAAACATCATTTCCTACTTCCCCTTCTCCAGCAATCTAATAACTGACCCTGAACCATATCAACGTTCGAATATCTATTTACCGGAAGACTATCATCCAAGTGGGCTACTCTGGGTGTCTTTGACAAATTCGACTAGCGAAGCATGGATGGACCATGACATGGACCTTGAATACGATGTGTGCTACACTATCAAAAGTTGTCATTCTCGAGCAGTCCTGGATCGGTTTCCCACTCTTCTAGAATTTCATCCACGATTTGTCTTCATAAAATCAGATAAAGCTCATGATGGCGTGGGGACGGTGCACAAGAGCATCAGTCACAGCAGGAAGGCAATTGCTTCAGCAATGGTACGGCTTCCGATAAGGCTCAAGTCGGTATCCTTCTTGACTTTCTCAATGCTTTTTTTATCTTACTCATCAGCTCTTCCAATCAATCAAGATGAGAAAATCGAGGGGAAAGACAATGATTCATGCACGTTGCGTGCCGATGATATTGCTTTACTCTCATTCTCCGTTTTATGTATCCCTGTTTGCTTTCTTCTAGGCCAGAAACTCGGCCAACCCCGCACTTTTGGTACCTTGATGGTAGTATTCAACATTGTCAATTTATTGACAAGTGGAGACCCTCTGGTTTCCAGAGTTGGACATTGGGTGTATGTATATCTTTCTCTCATTCCAAGCCTCAACGTTGTTATCTCATTTTAACGAAGACTACAGTAGCCTTGGGCTTTCATTCACGTTCGTAGCTATTTTCGCCGGACTGTTGGCAAGACGCTTTCGCCACATTACGCGGAGTTTTGGGTAAGATATCTCCCTCCTCTCCTACACAGCACTTTTATTGTGAGGGACAGTCAACTAATCCACTTAAGAGTAGTCATACAATTCCATTTCTCTTAGTAGTTTGGATGGTGAACTATCTCCTGAACCAGAGTTCGGGGCCTAGTGGATCTAGAGGAGAGAACCCGGACTCTGCCAGTCAATATCTCCTCTCATCATTGGCTTTCACATTGATCTGCTGGTGGAAGATTGCCGAGTGGTCGGTGCCAATTTCGTCCACTAAAGGGGTAAACGCTACAATGGCTATACCGATCGACATGAACCGCCCATTTCGCAATTAAAATGAGCAATCCTAACGTCGATAATATTTCCTGAAACATCGGGGGATAATTTCAATCCAACTATTCGCCCAGGTGTACGGATAAATCTGTTTTTCCAGTTCGCTTTCGCGATACTTTCGCCCCTTTTTGAAACGACCAAGACATTTCTATGACACATAATCATTCTTCTATATTATTATATTCCTCTACTGTCAAAGAGGTAGATAACAGCCGGCAATCGGAATCCTAATGGTAGTTCATCTGAATACCCAGTTCTTTGGTTTCACCATCAACCATGAGCTATGCACCCTCCTTCCAACGAACTCTCTCGTAAACCCACCTCGTGTATATATTTTCCGCCCCAGGAACACTTTTTTGTTCTAACAAATCTTGTACGAATTTCCATTGTTGTATTGAAGAGCCACATAGCTTAATAGAGCTGATCAAGGCATATCTTCACCGCCTCCAGCTGTACTTGAATTTGGGCTATACGCTCACATCATCCGCATTGGTTCCCACCAAGATCAGTACATGTAACTATATCATGGCCCACCAGGCCCATAACCTCCCCCGGAACACTCTCGCAGCCAAATTCAAGTACATGCCCAAGAACCCACGCTACCAATGGAAAACAAATATATACCCTTCACAAGCCCGGCCAAGCAGAGCAACGGACCTACTTTGCCAATACCTTCGAACAAACCATCGAGGCTTCTCCGCCAGCGAGAGGGCCAAATACCCACATTCATGCCCGCGACGACCAATCCGAGTACATGCCCACCGCCACGCTGCGAAGGATCGAGCGCACGCTGCAGAAAAATTCCGCAGCGCGCGCTACGCCAAGTTGATCCAATGGGGTCCCTAGCAGAACCAACCAGTCACTTATCTGACCACAGGCTATTGGGATGGTAGCAGCACCATAGCTCTCAGCGATGAATGTCGACCGATGTCCTTTTGGGCGCGGAGCCATGACGACTGCGATCCGCGGCTCCTGCGCAATCATCTTCGACCATCAGCATGCGGCGGAGCTGCTTAAGATGCTCTTTTTGCTTAATGAGATGGATGTGCTTTTGCGCGTCACGTTGCGGCCGGGGAATGCGCAGCCCGTGGCGGATTGGTGGTCGTTCCCGTATGAATTTCCGCCAGATTATGGTTGGACGGAGTTGATGTGCACAGCATTGATGGCGTATATTTGTTTGGATGTGCTGTATGTTATAGAGGAGAGGAAAGATTGTGGACAATTCTTCAGGTGAGTTGGTGGTGATAGTGAAATGCTGCAGGCCGAAGTTCCGGTTTTCAGAAGGAAAAAAAAGCATCATGACGAAGAAGCTTAAACAGACCAAACTTGTAAAGACAAGGATAAAGAAAACGACACGGATTACCGATGAACAGCCGTCTACCAAATGATGATATGCCGTGTCACTGGCTCCCGCGCATATGACGTGCATACATGTCCGCACCGCGGGTTCTTCGGCGTCGGGGAAGACATGTATAGGACAAATGACTGGCGTGACAACCCTCTCTACGGCCGGGCATCACTGGCAATGCTGCGCCAACGGTGGCCTGCCTCTATCCATATCCCCTCTAGCGCAGACTAATATATCGCCCTCCACTACCTGAATATAAAGGGCCTTCCCACAGAGCTGGGAATGATGGTGCTTGAATTTGCGAATTACGAACCACATCACCGAGCCATTGTCCCTGACGATCCGCTGCATATAGAGAATGCCCCTGAACTTTGCAAGTATCTAGGCTTCTACTGGCAGTTGCTGGTAAGATGTGATGTGTTGGCGGCGAAGGCATATGGGAAGCGTGTTGATTGGATAGGTAAGGTGACATAGTGTATTTTCCATTTGTTTGGAGTTAAATACCCGAAGATGTTTGATTTTTGGGTTGACAGTGGGTTTAATGACGAGTTTAGGAATTGGAAAGGGAATGAGATTGAGAGATGTTGGGGGTCCCGGGGGTTGATCGGCCCTTCTACCAGCAGTGCGCTGGTGGTGACTGAGCTCTTTTGCCCCAGTAGCCTACAAGAGATGCTGCATAAAATTTGTCTGATCCGTGTTGGGCTAGGGCTGTTCGTTTTAGCCCTAATTCCCAGGAACCAACTCAATATGAGACAAGTTCCAGCACGGACAATAGTTATATACCTATGAAATCTCAGATACCAAAATGAGGAAAGGGTATTAGTTATGCTAGGGCGCAATATGGGGTGTCTAGCGTCGCTATTCCCGGGCATGATCCAACCCTCGAATCCAGATCAAACAGAGAGAAGCAGCGGCGGTTAAACCTGTCATAGAAACAACGCTAGCACAAGGACGTCGACGATGCAAGTCAAAAAGCTGAATGCCTCACTTCAAAACCCCCCAATCCAAATTCCTCGTAGATACCCTGCCGGAGCGGAATAGGAGTTTCGGCACAAAAGAACGCGAACTATCGAAAAGAAGAAGGGGGGGATTTTAAGCAACCATGCAATATAGAACCTTCGTTGTATAAAAATCGCGGCTCCCCAGTCATGATAGCTAACAATACAAAAATAATAGAAGCACACCCTTTGGTTATTAAAAGTATACAGTTTTCGTAAAAGGAAGAAGAACTGAAAAATGAGAATGATGATGATATACCAAGGAGCAAAACAGAGGTAGGTATAAGAAATGAGTACAAGGTAGTATAGAAGATAAAAATCCGTCGCAATAATAGAATAAAAAGCGAGGAAAGGGGTGAAACATGGAGAAAGGAGAAGAAAATGAAAAATAAAACAGAAAAATCCAAAACCGCCCATTCACATATATAATAGTATTACAAGTATTTTTTGTATATTCCAACCCTCTTGAAGAACCAAATAAGATCACACAACAAGTGAAAGGACAAATCCAAAAATCCAAATCCTTTTAAGTAATAATCCTCCCATATTATTAACAATAACAAAAACAAAAAAAAAAAAAAAAAAAAAAAAAAAATCAATGGTAGCAGCGCAGGTGAAATGAATAAGAAGGAAAGGAAACCAGAAGAAGAATATGTAGGGAAGGGGAAAAAAAATAAAATAAAAAAATAAAAAAATAAGGGAGTCTGTGGTCTGCTCTCTTTCAGAGTGAGCGTGGGTCTTGGTTTGCCTTCCGAGAGATGAAAGTTGAACATATTCACAGTCTGACCAAATAGTGTGTGCTTGGCACCGATGAAAAGGAGATTAAAGGGGGGAATATTTCACTCTCCATAGTTCTAATTCCCTGGTATGCTTCTGGATTGATAGGTTCGCTTTTCTTTGGGTTTTGATATGGTGTAGATGATTTCGCAAAAATATTGAGTGCCAAAAAGTAAATAAAAAAAGTAAAAGTACAGTATATAAAAGGAAAAGGGTCTTTGAGATATATCTCATGAAAGAATGCAATCGCGGTGAGAAAGAATAAGCCATGGCTGGGGTTTTCTTGTAGTGGCCGCAAGAGGGAGCTAGATGAGAGGAGAAATGAAAAATGTGAAATGTGATATAAAAAAGCAATACATTAAAAGGCAATAGAAATAGATAATACATTACAATAATTAAATGAAATTTATCAAAAATTAAAAAGCTCTCTTAAAAAAAGTGCTTTTTGCGATGAGAGTCGTAAAAGGGTATCAAGCTCAAAGAGTTTTGGAACCGGAAAGGTACTTTGTTGTTTCTTAAGAGAAAAGGGTATGATTTATACAGCCGCACCGGTTGTCATATTAAGTGATCCTGGTTTTCTCTCCACATATCTCTACTATAGAGATTGGGGAGACTTGCCGGTTGAATCAGGGCTATAGTCGACCACGTCAGATAGGCGGATTTTTTTCGCTTGAGGTTCAAAGGTACTAGAACCATGTACCAGTTCCCGGTCGATCAACGCCCGCTCGAGTTCAGATATTCTTCGTTTTAGACCCTCCTCGCGCCTCTGAGCCTCTTTCAGCGATTGGTTCAAACGCGATTCGGAGTCTCGAGCAACCATTTCTGATCTTCTCGCGGTCGCGTCGCTTTGTTCCAATTCCGCAACCCTTCCTCGAAACAGTTCATTGATCAACTCGAGCTCGCTGATTCGAGTCTTCAGGGAGGTATTTGCAGCAAGAAGACTTTCGTACGTTTGTTGCGCTTCTAAATGACGATCGTTCGGGGAGGACGTGGAGCTGAGGGAAGGGTTATGCATTTGTAAGGAGGGCAGCACAGCCGCGGATGGATTGAAACTGTGGTCTGAGAGGGTGACGCTATCGAACATATGTTGAGGTGCGATGTTTGAATGGTGTTGAAATCCCGGGGTATTGGTTCGAGACAATGGGGAATTGGAGCGATCGGAAGGGCCTGCGGAACCTTTTCGCGATCCACGATGGTGACCATGGATACTTAAAGGCGGAGTTCCGGCTTCGGATCTCGAACCAGCAAGGCCATTGGCATCGATATTTGACTGTTAAAACATGAAAGTGAGCAACGACTTTTCCTGGTACCAGACCAACGGAATTCCCCCGCAAATCTACATAGAGCATAGAGCCACTACTTACTTTTCTCTTCGGTCCTTGGCCCGAGGTTTTGACCCGATTCCGGCTTTTGATGACATCGGTCTTGAGGCTTATCGGACGAGGACGACCATGGAGCTTGAGGAATAGGCCGCAGGCATTGCACAGGACTGATCCGGATTCATCTCTCCTCCAGAGGGGCGTCGTGGAAGTACCACAGTTTTGGCACACGGGCTGGAATTGGGAGCGTTTCTGGTCAGTCATAGTGGTCGCAATGTTGTAATTGAGACAAGCATGGAGAGGCAAAGCTGTGCCAGAGGAGTAGAAGGCAGAAGGAAAGGGGAGACAGAGGGGGAGCTGGCATTGGCAAGATTGATCACTGAGTGTTGATAAGATTTCGGCGAGGAATTAATTTTCAGCGATAAGAAACGGAAAAAAAGTAAAAGTTAAAAATTAAAATTTGGGGATGCCAAGCCTGGAGCCAGACTTTGCCTAATTAGGCATATCGCGGAGGTGGACGCGGCCAACTCAAGCCGCAACCAGGATGCAGGGCGTTTTGCAGCAGGAATTGAGAGCAGAGCAGCCCGTATATTGCACTTACTGGAGTGTTTCCCTGGCCCCCGGTGGTGGCTCCTGGTGAAGAGGTTGCATAACTCATGTTCTGGCTCGCATTCTGGTTGTTGCTGCTCGCCGTATCTGTGGTCTCGTAGGCGCTGTCGCAGGTTGTATGGCCACGTTAGTCCCTGCTTCAACTCCATTATGAAGTGCAACAGTCACATTGCAGCTGGTAACTGCATGTCTGGTGGCAAATGGGGATTTATCTAGGCGCTTCAATGGCTACCCGATCCGGCCCAATGCCTATGCCCATTCCAACAATAAGTGTTGCCCAGTCTCTGTTGCAAAAGCGAAAATAGAACATACCGTAGATGTGAAGTTGGGGCCGATGTAAGTGAAGCTAGGGTCGAGAGGCGAGGTAGGGAAGCGGAATAGTTGAGGTTATTGCTATCCCGTTTTAATGAGTATGGTGCAGGCAAATTCGCGTGTGATAATGGCGTTGAAGTCGATGAGGGTAGGGATAGATCTGTGGCAGACGGGGGTAAGGAGGAAGAAGATGGTGAAGGAGAGGAGGGCGATGAAGTTTTAATCTGTGACCTAGTCGTGAAATTCGATACGTCCCCAGCTCGTGACGGACAGGTTCGATGTAGAGCCGGGTCAATGGGCGCAGCCCCAAAAGTGACGGGAGCCACGGTGGAAGCCGATGTGAGAGAACCGGGGAACGGGTGGAGGAGTGGCGATAATATGGGAATGGAAACGATTAAACCATATCTAATATAAACGATGCTGGAGAGAAGATGGAGTAAGTACATGTAATTGAGGGTTGATAACGGGGCAAGAAGAGAGAAATATTTTTTTTACTTTTATGTTTTGTTTTTGCAGATCTGGCATCTGGGGGGACGACGATAAAGGAGTTGGTGGCGGCTGTTAGGCGGGTTTGGGCGGTGTTCGCACGGCTAGGGGGCGATCTACAGCGTCGTCCGGGGCGGGAACAAGAGCCTGGAACTCTCCATTATTGCTACGTAATATTTAGTTGCGAAGACTCCCGCCAGGACAGTATCTTATATTCAACTTAATTTTTTGCGTCGTTCTCTATTGTGCATTACCTAGATTCTCACGTTTGAAGCAGCCTTCGATCTTCAATGTACTCCGTAGTGAGTTGCAAACAAAATAAATAATAAATTATTGCGCCTCTCCTGCGTGGTACAACTTAAAATTACACTTGTCCAACCTCGCCCGGCTCTTTGATTGAGCTTGTTTCTTGCTTCTCAAAACGATACAGGAAGTAATCAACAGTACTTCATGCAGCCAGTCACAGAAGACATTAAAAGGGTATTTTACGAGTGTAACGTTGTGTCCTATTGCCTTGCCGGCTTCTGGGATAACATGTGCACCGAAATGCTCCTTTTAGTTTCTAAATTCCGGAGAATTGCTTTGCTACGCTGCAATAATTCTCCAACTTCTCTTGATAGCTGCAGAAATAATGCAGCAAAGGTTATCTATTTGTGATAAAGAACCGGCATGATCGTATCCCTCATGGGTCGCCAGGCTATCAATCACAAAACAGTGCAGTACCTTGTGCATGGCTATATTTCATCTATACGCCGAGTAAGGATGTATATTACATACCGCCCTGGTACTCTCAGAGCCACATAGGCCCGTGGATCAGATCTGACCGCGTTCGTAGGCTCAAGTCAACAAAGCTGCGCAGAAAGATGCCAAATCTGCTCTTATCCTAAATGAGAACTCTCGATGTCCCTCCAGATATCAGAAAAATGCTCATGAGCGTCATTTTGACATCAACTGGCAAAAGGAGTTATGTGAGTGCTGTTGAATCTCGCATAGTCGAGAACATTGCCAGCTTTGTATGAGGAGCTGCAGAATTGCATCACCGGCTAGATGGAGGGAACGAGCTAGGTCGGTTTATAGGATGTGAACCATATTTGAGATCTCGTATTTTAATTCTGTCATGGAATGCATCAGCTTCGAGCTATCAGTGAAACAGAGAAGGAGAAGAGTGAAAGAAGAGAGCCGCCCATGCACAACGAACGTATTTGGTTTTGCTAGAACCATCAGCTTCATGATGGTAACCAGTTGACGAGAGAGAGTTATCACTTCTAAATCAATCTGAATCAACGACGGAAATACTTATAATCGCGGATTGCTAAATAAAAGTTTCCCATCAGGGGGTAAAGGTAAGTTCTAACCTATCGCCACAGTGAGATATCGGGTTTAAGTTGACAATCTCCTGCAAATCAGGCGCTCATTCTAGCGCGCAGCGTGATGGAGTGGAGAGCGTGGTGGGATCGAGGGAGGGAAAAGAAAAAAGAAAAAAGAAAAAAGAAAAAGAAAAAGAGAATTGTAGGCTATAGAAGCCGTGAAATATAAAAGAACATCCCCTCTGGTAGTCTTTTAACGGGACTGCACATCGGAGTGACCACAGTCTAAGCGAATTGATCCATCATCCACCGCAGAGCAGACCACCCGCCTCGAGAGGACAGCATGAGGTCGCAACATTTGGTTGCCCGAGAAGTTCCTGGACATATTCAATGGAAGGAAAATATATTGATCTCCTAGTTACACAGTTAAGTATCAGTCATCCCCAATTCTGACGAGAGGGTTTTTATAAATGGACGTTTGACCAAGAGCCGCCCCAAAGCGAACCCGGCAGAGCTCATGCTACAGTGTCAAAATAAGCATGAAAAGAACACATCCGGTACCTAGATATAGCAGTGCAAAATTGCCCTAAGTATCCAGCAACGATGCCTGTAACTGTGTCTGTGCCTGAGCAAATGCTAGGGTCCTGGACATGGCAACATTATGGAGCTTGTGGATGGGCGCTCCATAAGGCTATGATGCTTACAGATATGAGTTGGAAGATCCATGGATGCTGATCCTACAATTCTTTCTGGGAATTATCATGTCCCTCGGGAGCGTTGTATCCTGTCTTGAGCCTCTTTCCCACTCCGGGAAAACATTTTTCTTTCGGGAACGAAACGAGCACGCTAAGAAGACGGGATATTTAAATAAGGGTCGAAAGGACGCTAAACCGACTCAACTACGCAGCTAGTTTCTTAAAAAAGGAAATATTTGTGGATGAACTCAAGTAGGCGATTGGGCTCCATATCTCTCAGAGCACATCAAGCATCGAAAATATTCAAGCGCCGGCCCCCATGGGCCATTGTCCATGGGCCCACAGCAAAAGACAGCGGACAGGCTCTCCTCCTCACTCTTCAAGGGAGGAGGCTCCGAAATGCCGCCAAACAGGGGCAACCTGATACGCCCAATGGCTGGCCGAAGGATTCCACTGTCACATTGGTTGGCTTTCCAAATCCTTCCTTCGTTGGCGCGATGCGGGCCGAGAACATGAAGGATTTCCTTCTGCCTTTTAGTCGTCCCCAGGGTCACCGAACTCGATGGTGAATTTTTGGTTCTTTCAGAGCTTCCTCACACGTTGTGTTTCTTCCTTCCTTCAACTCTCGACTCCGTCATAAATCGTCAGAGCTTGGGATTCTGCGGAGAACGACAGCATTTCTCACAACCGTCGAGAACAGGCGAGGCACAACCGCCATATCTTCCTAACGACGAAACCTACGGAAATAACACCGAACACCAGTGTTAGCTATGGCGCGGTTCACCGCAACACTCCGCCTTGTCGCGACGTTGTTATCATTTTGCGCGATCGGGGTGCGATGTCAAGGGAGAATGTGCTACGCCCTCGACGGCACTGAATACCCTTTTGATGTGCCATGCACAAATGACGAGGTTACCGTGTGCTGTAATTCAAAAGACATCTGCATGTCAAATGGACTCTGTTATCTTCAAGGCTCACACGGTTCCGTGTTGTCAAGAGGATCTTGCACGGATAAAAACTGGGGCCCTGGCTGCTTTGCACCTTGTTGTAAGTATATATGCCTCCCTAGCTTTATATTATTGTTGTTATTTTTATTCTTTTATTTATCTATTTGTCTATTTGTCTTTTTGCACGTATCATATTTTGCCTGATTGCATCACGAGCACCGTTTTTCCTCTAAATGCCTTTTTCCTGCCGATTTGTTTCGAGATTATTAAAAAGTTAACCACTCCTTCAAATAGCCAGTTACCATCGCCACATCGGCTTTCCCATCGTCAATTTTGGTTTCCAAGGGAAAGATTCTAAATACTGTTGCGGCGGCTTCGAAATTGTCGACGGAAAGGTGGGCTGTCTAAACGGGGACTCAACCTTCTCGCTGCCTCCTGGTCAAGCTATCGTAGGGGTAGCAGGTCTTGTCAACAACTCTTCCCCAAGCCCCACCCCCACCAGCACTGCCAGCACCACCAGCACTACCAGCACCACCAGTACGGGCACCAGAACCACCGGCACGGGCACCAGCACCACCGCCACTGGCACCAACACCGACCTCCCGCCTACGCCTACAGATACCGGCTCACCCGTACACACCACTCCCCCCGTAACAACATGTCCCTCTCCCCGTGACACAGTCATCGGAGTTGGTATCGGAGTCCCTCTCGGAGTCATCGCTATTGCCGCTCTTGCATGGGCCATCTGGGAGCGGAGTGGTAGACGCCAGGCACTGGCGGCTGCGTCGGCGGGCGGTGCTGTCTACTCCGCGCAAACTGAGTATGCCCACCCACCCCACTACCAGAAGCCTGTTGCGGAGTTGTCTGAACGAGGTGTTATTTCGGAATTGATGGGGAGCGGACATCATAACCATAAATAAGGGGGTAAATGGAATGAGATGGGATAGGGGCGAGTATGGAGAGCCGGGAAGGGGAGGGGGTTCACGGAGCTAGTTCACGGTTTGCTTGCTATGTACGAATGGTAATAAAAGTACTTATCTGGGACTCCGCCGAGCCGATGCAAATATATTGGAAATCAAGTGGGGAGAAAGATACGTTCAGCTTGTGGCCGGCCCCTCGTATTTTTTACCTTTATTTTATTTTACTTTATAATTTTTTTTTTCTTGTCCTTCTTGTGTGTATTCTTTGTCTGATTTTGTGTTTTATCTGTTCATCTTGATGGTGTTGACATTTCCGGCTTAGATAGTACTTCTCCTTTTTTGCTGTGTAAGGGAGTCATTGTTTATTTAAAATGGATACCCAGGCACATTACATTGTTTTACTCGTGCTTTCGCTTCCCCCACCACACCTGTGGTTGTTTAATATCTGTAAATTCTTTGATACTACTATATTCTCTGCTCAAAAATATGCTTATATTATTGATATTTTACTCATATCTGATGTTGTGTTGAAGATATACATATATATATTTAATAGGTATCTTTTATATGGTGAGCCCATACCTTTGAAAGACACAAGTTGCATTGTTGTGATAATAGAGAACCAAGGCACAAGTAGTCCTGTTATTCAAGGGAAACAGTTTTAGAGCTGCTCTGGAGGATTTGGTTGTCTCTGACCAGTGATAACCAGTTTTTTATTTAATGTTTGGTGCTTGGTTTGAGATTGCCTCAATGTATGGATCAGAGCTGCATTTTATATTCCTCAGTTGCTTGTATTCACCCACCACCATGCCTTAAAGTGATATTTTTTGGGTTATAAGCAGCACACTGACAACATTTATGTGCACAATTATAATCAATTGAATTCCCATTCATCAGTCATCAATCTGCTGTAGGCCCCTTGCCAACAAGATCTCTTGATAGTAGAAAAAATGTTGCTGCCTCCTCCCTGGTGTCCATTTGTAGCCCCTGAATATCTGATATCACATGACTTGGCTCCTCAGAACCCATTCGTTTACATAAGCAGTCTAGATCACATGTTCTTCCTGTAGGATAGTTGAAGGTTGTATTGATAGATCTATCTACAGGAACATAATATAGTGGTGGGTCACGTGATCTAGTGGGATCACTAACCGCAACAGCTGTAAGGGCCAACACCCCCCCTCGAGATAACAAGAATCACATACAAAAACACCCAAATCACCAAGATAGTCTGTCAAAACCAAATACAAATGTAAAATTAAACATTCCCAACTTTTACACCTGTAAGGCCTAGCAAAACCATGAATCATGCAAATGTCACATTGTCTAGAGATTTAGTGAGTTCATTCACTGTCATCTGAGTAATGAGAATGTATTCTAAATCAATGATTCTCTGATTCAACTGTCAACATAAAAAATGAAAATGCATGTCAATGTGCTTACTTCAGGCTGTAATGACTGTCATCTTTATAAGATCTATGATATTCTTATTATCAGTGAGAATCTGTATTGAAGATGTAGTGATGAAGCCAAGCTCAATCATAAGATTCTGAATTCATGTTGCCTCGCGGACTGCCTCACTAAGAGTCACATATTCAGCCTCATTGAAACTTAGAGATACACAAGATTGCTTTGCTGAATGCCATGAAATCAGGCTGTCTGTGAGCTTAAAAATGTAGTCAGATGTTAATTTTCTATCATCATTCAAGAAGCTGGCTCAATCAGAATCTGAGTAGCTGAAGAATAGATAGAAATCATCAGAGAAATCAGAGATAATGAAAGAATCAGTAGAAACAGAAAAATCAGTAGAAACAGACCTCTCATACAGATCACATCTGTAGAAAATACTCAGATTCATGATTTCTTTCAAATAATGTATAACATATAATAGAGTCTTTCAATATTGAGGTGTTGAATCAATATTCTGTTAAGCAAGTAGCAAGACAGTGTGAGTGATATCAGAACATGTTTTAACTGTGAGATATTACAAGTAACTCACATTATATTGATATCACTGAATTATGAAATCAGCCTCTTTCTCAGATATAGAGAAATTATCAATGTGAAATTCATTCTTCATTAATGTTCTGATGACAGCTGTATTATCAAGGTAGAAATCTTTAATAAGGCATTTAATATATTGATAATATATTAAATCAATTCTCTTGTCTGAACAATTGATCTTCATACTCAAATACTTGATTAACTGACATAGATTCTTAACTTTCAATTTCTCACTGAGCATACTTACTAGTCAATCAGCATTCTCAGAAGCTTCAGATATGATGTTGAGATTGTCAATGTAAATTGTCATATAGAGGTGATATCTGAATATATAATATCAGAGTGCTGAATCATAAGTACTGACTGTAAATCTGAGATTACTCAACAGAGCTGTTAAGTAATTATACTAGATCTTCACTGCAGAGTTCAGATTATATAGACTACTCTCAACTGTGCAGACAAGTGTTTTCAGTGAACCTGTCTTAAATTCAGTGAGTTATCTCATATAGATCTTTTTAGTGAGATACTTATAAAGATATGTTATCACTATATTCACTTAACAGAGTGTTCAATCATGTAGTACTGCTATTGCAAAAAGAATATGATTGACAGTATCAGTGATAATAGAAGTGTAGATCTCTTCTCTAGAATTCTTCTTAAGTCAGTTATCACAAATCACTCAATGTAATTTTCTAAGAATATCATCAGAATTGATATTCAGATCTGCAGGCCTATCTTTCTCAAGAAACACTCAATAACTTGAAGCAATTGATTCATCTCTCAAGATATCAGATCTAGAGATCAAACTTTATATATTACATCTCTTCAGATCAGTAATCTCATATTGCATGAACTTCTTTCAATAATCTCCTATCTTCTCTGGCTGAGATGTGGCATTCTTGTAGAACTTTGAGAGGTTGCCTGTAATGAGGCTTGAAGTGTAAGTAGCCAGCGATTTCACGGGCTGCAATCATGTAGAATTCAGATCATCAATGTCAGAGGCATCTTCATCATCAATCAGATGAATATCAGACTCTGATTCAACAATATGATTGATGAGTTTCACAGATATAACAACTGGTTTTTCAGTGATCAGAAATCTCACATCACTACTGATAATAATCTTATCAGATTTGAGATGCCATAGGCAATATATTAATGTGTCACTGAATTCAATGATATGATAGAAATCAGCATGTGAAGAAAGCTTATTCACAGGCTGCTGAGATTCATGCAAGTGAATAAAAACCTCTGTACTCAATCAGTGAAAATGCCTTACATTCAGTGAGATATTTGTAAGTGCATATTAAGAAATCTTATGTGAACTTGAAGTCACAGAGATCTCTGCAGTAGAGGATCAAAATTTTGAGTTATAAAGAACTGTAGATGTGAGAGTATTATTGATTATTGTAATCACTGTCTCTAGAACATCTGCTCAGAACTTCTTAGAAAGATTATCTTTCAAAAGAGTAGCTCTAACCTGTTCCATGATAGTACAGATTTCATGTTCAGAAACATCATTCTGATGTGATGAATGTGATACTGTTAGTTCTCATTTGATATTATATGAATTCATAACTGTGTGTATATATGTGAATCAGAAAACATTATCAATATTGATCTGTAGAAAAGCAGAGGCTGTATACCTGAGATTATTCATGAATCTGAGTCACAACTCAAAGTATTGAACAGCCTCATTCTTGAACTTTAAAAAATACACTCAATGATAGTGAGTTGTGTCACAGATGATAAGTATTCAGTATCTGATTCTCTGGCAGAACTCTAAGAGATGATCAGAGAGGTCTTTCAATGTATATTCATCATCTACAAGGTTAATATGAACCTTCTCAATGAGTTGAATAGATCTAGACATCAGTGTTTTTGAATAATCTTGTGTCATATCAGCCTTGACACATTTCTTGTAAAAGAACTTAGTCTTAGAGTCTTTAATTGTGACTTCAGTATGAGGATTCTTGATCATAGCAATTATAGCATCAGCATGAATGTGACTGAGATCACAGTGTCAGTTCAAAAGAGTCTTTGATATTCTTGTATTCTTGAGACCTGTATTCAGAACTGTAGAATCAATGTTATTAACAGTAGTAGCAGCAGCCACAGAAAGATCAACTTTTCAGTCAAAATCATACTCATATAGCATCACAATATACTTGACTGCCTTATTCAGATGATTGAAATCCTCATTGAACTCTCATTTGTTAATCTTATATATGTTGTTCTGAGCAGTCTGAACTGCATGAAAAATAACACTGTTCAGAGCTCTGCAAATGAAAAATGAGGGAATAGTGAAAGACAATGTAAATTGAAATCCCTGATCTTCAAGCTTTGCAAATGAGAGCAGGTTAACTGTAATATTAAGAATATAGTGAACATTCTGCAAGTTAACATCATCATTCTCAATCTTCAAGATGACAGTCTCAATCTTCTTAACAAACTCAGTTCCCCCAGTTGCAGAATCAACAGAGATATTATCATTAAAAGGTTTGATATTTGAAAAAGAATGAAGCTCATCTGTCATATTCAGGCTTACACATGTGTTCAAATATCAAGATCTAGAGAATGATTTTTCAGTGACTGTGAAAGAGAAATAGAACTCAATCTTTGTAATTACTGCATTTGCTGCTGATTAAGAACTCATCAAGTCATTCTTCTTCTCTTTCTTCTTGTCATTCTTCTTATTATCCTTCTTTTTCTTTTTATCAGAGTGTAAGATGAAACACCTGTCAACAGTATGTTTATATCTTCTGCAGTGAGTACACTTCTATACAGGTGTGCTTTTATTCTCATCTTTGTTCTTATCTTTGTTCTTTTTCACAGTCACAGAATCAGTCTAAGACTGCTTTTTTCACTCAGTGATAATCTTCTTGAATGTCTGATTGATCAGTTGCTTCATTAAATTATTAATATCAATGTTGACAATGAGTCTCTGATCAGTGAAGAAAAACTTATTCAAATGTATCTTAATAAACAGTCTTTGATAATTCTGCAGGTTGTTGAGAAAAAGATTATAATATACATTCTCAGTACTCTGACAGAGCTTCTTGTAACAGATAATAAGATAGTGAAAATGTCTCTGAAAAGTAAGATAATCATTCTTCTTAACTTATAATTTTATCAATTTCTTGAAGATATTAACTTGTTCTTCTGTCAGTGATATTGCATATTTCACATTGATCTTGTCTCACAGAGCTGCAGCATTGTCAGCTTTCAAGGTTTTAATAGTAATTTGAACATTTTCAACAAGACTCAATAGCATACATCTATATAGAGACTTGAAATGAATTCTTCACTTCTCAGAGTTGATATGATATATAAAAGAGAATTCTCATTGAGTTCTCAATAGAATGTTGATTTCATCAATAACTTCTGCATCAGTTAATATATCAACACATCAGGCTTTATAATTAGAGCTATTAAATGTGATCACTGATTTAATGTCTAGTACATATTTGACTTTCTTCTGATATTTCTGTAACTCATCTCTTGTAGTGTCTCTTTATGCAGAGACAGATATAGTGAGATATTGAGCAGTTTCAGCTGCAGTTATCTGATTCTGTAGCATCATCTGTATAAGATTCATAAGATTGTCTGCAGTGCAATAGATAGATTGATTTGAATCACTATTAAAAGTCAGCATTCTGAGAGTGAGAGATGATGAAGAATTCAAAGAATTGAAATAAACAGATTCTGCAGATGAATGTTAACTCTGCTTTTCTTTGTTCTGAAGTTTCTTCATTGTCTCATCATCATCAAATTTCATACTTTGATGAAAACTGATCTCAGTCTTATCTTGCAAGTTAGAAGCTTTCTCATAATGAGTGATCATTCTATCAATGAGTCATCTAGTGAAGTGTGTGATTCTGAGCCTTGAGCTGAACTCTGAAGTAACAGGTGTATCACTCATATTGAGGTGGCTCTGCTTCTTCTAGACATATAAAAAAAAAAAAAGGTAAAAAGTGATATCCTTTACAATGAAGAACACACTTTCTCAAAAAAAAATAAAGTATATGAATCTGCTGACTGACAGATTCAGAGAAAATGGAATATCTCTAATAAAGAGTGAGAGTCTTTCCAAAAAAAGGTGAACTATCTGTGTCAAAAATATGTTGGTATAATATTCTAAAAAGAAAAACATGCCATCCGGGCTATAACCTGTAGAATAGTTGAAGGTTGTATTGATAGATCTATCTACAGGAACATAATATAGTGGTGGGTCACGTGATCTAGTGGGATCGCTAACCGCAACGGCCGTAAGGGCCAACACTTCCATCCTTACAAGATCGATGTGTAAATTAAATAGGAGCATTTATTGATCTTCATGCTTCGGCTGCTAAAAAAAAACTCGACGACCGCTTTATTATCCTGATTGCGTATAACATATTTTGCCCCTTGTTGCTTTCCTCTACTTGTAATTGGTTATGTCAAAAGCGTCTTGAATTGTTGAATGCGTGATCTTCTCCGGAGTGTTGCCGCCTCATCCCTCAATGAAGCTACGTTCTGTTGTGCCAAGTATTTATTTGACCTTCCCTTACTCCTAAGAACCGCCCACCCATTTCTTCCTCACAATGGCGCCCAAGAAACATCGTCCTGCTACATCCGGCTATGAGCGCCTTGCTCAGGCTGATGAAGAAAGAGATCATGACTTTTACGACTACTCCGATGATGAGGACCCCTTCGCCGCGCCTCCTCGCCTCTCCACCTCCGCCCCCAGATACGCCCCTATTCATTCCCGCCCCCAGATGCATGCATCAGGACGGTCTTCACCAACTAGTTCCCGGCACCGCCCAAATAGATCTCGAAGGCGTGTGCGGAGTAATTCCGGTGTGGATATAAAGGCCATCAATATGCGGCTTGAGAGGTGGGCGGAAGAAATCGCCGCCAAGTTCAAGATTCACAAGGTTAAGGGAAAGACTGCCTCGGAAGAGAAATTGGAGATACACCACTCCGTATTTCAGCCTCCCGATGGAATTCGCCCAGTTACGTCAGAATCCCTCGAACATGACCCTGCAGATGCAGATCGGATGACCAAGGAGGAATTCGAAGCTGTTGTCGATAGCGTGAGAACTGCAATCGAGTTAGGGGTACACCCGAAGATGATATCACAGGGTAGCTCGGGGAGTTACTTTGCAAGAAATAGCCAGGGGAAAGTCGTGGGTGTTTTCAAACCGAAAGATGAGGAACCCTACGCATCACGAAATCCCAAGTGGACGAAATGGATACACAGAAATTTGTTCCCCTGCTTTTTCGGCCGAGCTTGTTTAATTCCTAATTTATCTTACGTTTCCGAGGCCGCTGCCTACGTCCTTGATACCCGCCTAAAAACAAACCTTGTCCCCTACACCGACATCGTCTATCTATCCTCGAAATCCTTTTACTACGACTTCTGGGACCGTCGGAGTGCTTGGGGTAATAGGAAACAGTTGCCGGCAAAAGTTGGTAGCTTTCAAGTCTTCTTGAAGGGCTATAAAGATGCCAACATATTCCTCCGTGAGCATCCCTGGCCCGATCAACATAACTCCGGCTTCGCTGCAGGGGATGCACCAAGGAGGAAGAAGCGTCCTTGGAATGAAGCATGTCGACCATCCGGCACCCAGTCCGATGACGAAGATGAATATGAAGACCGTCATTTCTCCCCATCTCCTTCGCAAGAAGAGTCCCCCCATCCTCGGTTTTATTGGTCCGAGAACCTCAAGCAAACCTTCCGCGAGGAGCTTGAAAAGCTGGTTATCTTGGATTATATCATGCGTAACACAGACCGTGGATTGGACAATTGGATGATAAAAATCGACTGGCAGACTGAGAATGTCTCTATCGTTGCTGAACCGCCAAAGGTAAACGGCACAAACCATTCGGATGATGATGACCATACGCCCCCGCCACAGCCTGTTTCTTTAAGCTCGGATCGTCTAGGCTCAGGCATTCGGCCATACCGGCGCCAGGAAACGATGGTTGCTGTTAGCCGGTCAGCGACACCGTCCAATGCGCCAGATCTACCCCACCCCAGCATATCCATCGGAGCTATCGATAATAGCTTATCGTGGCCCTGGAAGCATCCTGATGCCGTAAGTTGAATGCCGTCAGTATTTGCTTAAGCTATGAGAGCGGCATACTAATATTTTAATTTTATGAAACAGTGGCGAAGTTTCCCCTTTGGTTGGCTTTTTCTTCCTGTTTCTCTCATCGGTCAGCCGTTCTCGCGAAAAACTCGAGACCATTTCTTGCCTCTCCTTACGTCGACCGCCTGGTGGAGCGGCACACAAACTGCTCTGCGGCGGGTCTTCAGTCAGGATTCCGATTTCAAAGAGAGCATGTTTGCGCGACAAATAGCAGTTATGAAGGGTCAGGCATGGAATGTGGTCGAGACTCTCAAACAACCAGACCATGGACCCCTGGAGCTTACGCGAAGAACACGAGTATGCGTCTGGGACGACCTGGTCGACATCCCCGTTGCCATCCCGCTCCGCGTCTCTTCTACCGAAATGCAGAAGCGACGAGAGCTAGATCGCGAGCAGGAGGAGATGGATATCAGCACAGCCATATCATCCAACTCTGGGCCACACCGTGATCTCTTAAACCTAGGCTCACCATCCCATGAACTTCCCAACCCTAACAGATTCGCGCTGTCCCGCGATGAGAGAGGCTCCGCAGACTCCAGCGGCAGAAGAGAAGTGGCGGGCAGCCCGACTTCGCTTGGTGGTTTTAGCCATAGCAACTTTGACGGGGTAGACGAAGACAACGAGCGGGATCTCACAGCGAGCTGGACAGCTGCTCCCGTCCGCGCTACTGCATCTAACCCATCGAGGCCCAAATTAGGTGTCGATTCCAAACATGCAGCACATAAAAAGAACGCCGCATCCTTTACTCATCGGCGGGGCAGCGTGGCGTTTATGTTCGGCGGCGATGATCTTGAAGGTGACCTTGGCTACGCGGCGGCGGAAGAGATGGAAGGGAATGAGCGCAAGGTGATCGTCGAGCGACTCGAGGCTGTCAAGAGCAAGAACCCGGTTTTCACCTGGTGCTGAACAGGAAGAAGTGCAATCTAATGATTATAAACATTTATTCCTTTGCTCATTCACATACATGGTTTTGGTTGGGCAAAATGCACCTTTCAGTTACCTTAATGTTCTCTATTTTGTTCCCGCCTTGCCCCCCTCTCTCCAATGCGGGGGGTTTCTTCTCCCAATGATATGTCTATCTCTTTATTTCGCATTTCCCGTTTTACGTTTGTCATCCATGTCTAGGATATACAATTGGGGTCATGGCATGAGCATATGGAGTTATATTAGCGTTGTTGGCATGTTCCACTTTCCTGTCTTCTTTGCTTTTCTCTTTCTTTTCATTACGGTCTTTTATTAAAGGGAGGATTCTTTATTTTTGACCGGCTTGTGGTGGAATTAATAGAAACCTGCCTTCCTTGGGTTCGCCAATATCGTTTCTTATTCGTGGTGTTTTCCGGGTGGTATCGCAAGCATGCCCAAGATACATAGCTCTTCAACTTTTGCCTTCTCGATAATGTCTTTCCATTTTTTGCCGAATTATATTTATATCTTATTTCCTTCTACTAACCTAGAATATGTATATACGTACATAATATTAAATAACCCAATACTTTCCCTGTTATCAAGTCTATTCTTTCCCCCGCAAAATGTCTGCGTATCTATCTTTCTTGGCCGAGTTTAAATATCCGCCTATACCTATTTAGGTCAGGTCACATGCCACTCCGGCTTATCTTATCTGCTAGCGCCATCTCGACTCTTTCCCCCATATATATCCCAATGCGTCATTCCACTCCCCCTTCCAGATTCCTCCAACATCGCCAATCACCTCCTACATCTATCACGGTGTCTATCCGGACTGACCAGTGAATGAATGGCTAAGCACATTTCATCCAAAGCATCACTGGCCAGATTGAGGCGGAACTCAACACACTGCGCGTGCCTTTGCCTCCCTCGCTCGCTCGCAAACTGAGCTTCTCGATTCAGTCTGCCATCGAACTGGTCTCGAGTCCACCTCCCCCTTCACCTAACCTTCACATCCTTTTTCTTTTTCCTGATATAATCTGCGGATGCCTTCTCGACATGAGTTGTGCTACATACTTTTCCTTAAACTTTTCGTGTTTTTCATGTTTTAAATTTTGATTTCGCTCCTTGCGGCAGCTTTCCGGATCTTTCGAGGCCAATTTCCTTGATACACATCCCGGACGAAAATCGAAAATACCTCCCTGAGTTAACATGAATTCTTCTGCGGCAGTCCTGCTGGACCCGAAAGCTTTTAAAAAGCAGCCGGCGAAAAGTATGTTTGCATTGCGCTCAGTTTCCTTTCTGTCTCACCTCTTGTCTCTCTGTACGGCTGGGTCGCAAGCTCTGAACGCATTTTCTTTTGTTCACATCTCATATAACGACTCCCCCTTTTTGTTACCCTCTTAAAACTCCACTTACTCCGTCCGGTTCCCATGCTCACTTCGACTTTTTGTACACATAGGCTCAAGCTCCAGCTCTCCCCGACCCGCTAGTGCGCCCTCGGGAACAGCCTTCGATCCCAGAGTGTTATTAAGCCCTCGAAGCTTGAAAGCGCGCAAGCCAGGAACAAATGCTAGTGCACCAGTATCTCAGACGCCTACTACTCCGCAACACAGCAGCGATAACCAGAGCTATTCTGCCTCGGCTGGAAACGCGAGTGATTCCCAAAGCGAGAAGACGGATTCAACGCGTGGGTTGGAGCCGAGTCGGTTTGACCGTCATAGAACTATGATTGAAAATATGTATGGGGTTGAAGAGCGCGGAGTTCAACCACAGAAACGGATAAAACGCGACGCGAATCGCCATGCTAGTAGTTCGGAGCAGAAGTTCGCTTCCAGTGCTAGACGGGGGCTGGCGGATTATATGAAGGAACGTTCGGGAGCCAGTACTCCGTCACTGTCTGAAGTGGCGATGATAGATCTTACAAGAGGTAACCACCTCCAGCGCGTTCCTCGATGAATTATATATTTGTGCTAACAATTAACCTAGATGACAAAAATGAAGATGACGATGTGGTTTTTCTTGGTAATAAGGATTTAGGAATGGAGGAGGTCTGCTATGGAAGAATTGAAGGCGCGATGGTTTACGCTCACCAAGTTCCTCGTTCAATGAAGTCGGTTTTTGGCGCCACATCATCTGATTGGCCCTCTATTCGATGTCAACTTTTTCGTACTCGCGGCCCAGATACAAGGATTGAGGTTGCAGACCCTTCACAAAATGTATTTGGGATCATTGACCATCGAGTTTCAGCAGCCTTAGTGCCGCTTCTGGACTCGACAATCTTCAAGGTGCGGACTCAAGCTCGGCTCGACGTCCGCAGGAAAAAGGAAAACGAATGGCCGGGGCAAGCTTGCTCGGAGATATACCGCATAACTATAAACCTCTACGGTCCCAGGAAGATGGCCGACGGGATCGGGAAGCATCTTGGCCAGAAGAACGTTTGGCTAGGGACGCCCAACTCAGTTGAAGCTGGGATGTCGACCTACAACCCCCATGCCGAGAGACGCCTTGTTCGAGCGGCGAGTACCGCGAATCGACTTGCAGTCCAATCAGAAACACGGACAGCAGAAGAAATTAACAGTGCTGTCACGAAAATGCTCGATCAGTTGACTAGCGCTGAAAATATTCCGCAAATGGAGCCGCCTGCTTCGATAAAAACGCCTCTACTTGCACATCAGAAACAAGCGCTGTGGTATATGTTACATAAGGAAAAGCCCCGAACGTTTGGTGAAAAGGAAGAGGAAAACAATTCTTTATGGAGGATCCATTACCAGTCGAACGGCCAAAAGTGCTATCGCGATATTATCAGTGGTGTTACGTTGTTCGAGGAGCCACCACAAGTTTATGGAGGCTTATTGGCGGATATGATGGGTTTGGGGAAGACGTTGAGTATTCTATCGCTTGTCATATCTACCCATCTCGAGTCATTAGAGTGGGCATTACACACCGTCGACAAGAGATTATTGAACAATCCTGCAGCACGGAATGTAAAAAGCACCCTTTTGGTTTGCCCTCTAAGCGCAGTAGGGAACTGGGTTAACCAGATCGAGGAACACCTGGAGGAGGATGCTCTGTCATATTATGTCTTTCATGGACCTACAAGAACAGAGGACCCGGATGAATTATCAAAGTACGACCTCATCATCACTACTTACAGCACAATACTCAGTGAACTATCTGGCAAAAGCACGAAGAGAGGAACTAGCCCTCTCACCCGTATGAACTTGTTCCGTATCGTTCTCGATGAAGCACACGCTATCAGAGAACAAAGCGCTGCTCAATCCCAGGCTATATTTGCGCTAAATTCTCAATGCCGTTGGTCGGTCACTGGAACACCGATCCAGAACCGACTAGAAGACTTAGCGTCTGTCACGAGGTTTTTGAGGCTCCATCCGTACGTGGAGAAGGCTCAGTTTGCGGCTTACATTATTGCTCCATTTAAGTGTGAGAATCCGAAGGCAATCCCGAATCTCCGCATGCTCGTTGATTCGTTCACTCTCCGCCGCGTCAAAGATCGCATTAACCTACCACCTCGCCATGACAAGGTCATCACCTTGACGTTTTCGGAGCGCGAAAAGATGCTCCATGAGTTCTTTAGAAAGGAGTCTAACGTAATGATGAATGTAATTGCTGGCGAGAGCAAAGAAAAGATGCGAGGGAAAATGTATCATCTAGTTTTAAAGGCGATGATGGTTCTGAGACAAATTAGTGCTCATGGAAAAGAACTCCTCGATCAACAAGACCGGGACAGGTTTAAAGGGTTAAGTGCCACTGACGCTATTGATTTGGAGCAGCCAACTGACGAGGATTCTTTAACCGTCACGGAGAAAAAGGCATATGAAATGCTCGCCCTGATGAAAGAGTCGGCCGCAGATGTGTGTGCAAGATGTGGAAACACCATCACGCTCCAATCTCCAGAAGATAGCCCGAGCGATAAAGATCCACTCATGGCAGCCATGCTACCATGCTATGATACTGTTTGCGCAGAGTGCTTCCCGCCAATTCAACAAGTTTTCAATGAAAACGCAGGCAAACGATCCCAGCTTTGCTGCACATTCTGCAAAGGCCTAATTCCCGTAACATATTCAGCCATTACGTGTCGGGGCTTTGAGAAATTCCAAGCATCCCAATTATCCACAAGACATAATCCCAAACAAGCTAAGAAATTCGGCCAGTACGAAGGACCGCATACAAAAACCAAAGCGCTCATCTCACACCTCCTCGACACAGTGGAAGAAAGTAAGAAAGCGCCCGATGAACCCCCGATCAAAAGCGTCGTATTCTCCTCCTGGACATCGCACCTGGACCTAATCGAAATTGCACTAGAGGATAACGGAATCACTACTTTCACTCGCCTCGACGGCACCATGTCTCTCAAACAGCGCAATGCCGCCCTCGACGAATTCCGCGACAACAACGACATCACCGTCCTCCTCGCTACTCTAGGCGCGGGGGGCGTCGGGCTAAATCTCACCTCAGGATCTAGAGTGTACATCATGGAGCCGCAATATAACCCAGCAGCGATTGCGCAAGCTGTGGACCGGGTTCATCGCCTAGGCCAGACGCGTGAAGTGACGACCATCCAGTTCATCATGAAGGATAGCATTGAGGAGAAGATTGCGGAGCTGGCAAAAAAGAAACAGCAGATGGCAGATATGAGTTTGAATCGGAGCAGGTTGGATAGGAGGGAGTTGCAGCAAGAGAGGATGAAGGAGTATCGGAATCTGTTTACGTGAAAGTGAAGCTTGTGGTCTGGCTTGCCTCGCTTTTTACGGTCTTACTTTGCATGTGGGATCATCGAACTGGATTCCCGCTTTTTTCTTTTTTCTTTTTTCTTTTTTCTTTTTTCTTTCTTTCTTTCTTTTTTTTTTTTTTTTTTGCTTCCCCTTCTCCTTCTTCTCCTTCTTCTTTTGTTTTATAAAACTCCTTCGCATCTACCACGACTCACGACTCATACACGACTCACGATCGCACCGCGTCCGAGGGTGCTAGTCACCCACTCACATACATCCATCCATGGGCAACAATTTTCACATTACCTTCAGAAAAACATCACCCTTTCCGGCGCGTGAAACAAGGAGCCACAATTCGGATTCCGATAGATGATAGATAGAATATGGCTATGTTTGGCTGGCAGAGATTTAACCGCATTTATCTGGATTTGTTATCACTTGCCTTCGAAAAAGACTTTTCTTTCTCCTCTCCTTTCCTCTTCCTTTCACATCATTTTATTTTATTCTAATGTTTTTTATTCCCAAATTCACGATTAACATATACCCAGAATACTTTTTGTTTTCTTTTCCTTCTTCTTTTGCTGTTTCATTTTCACTTCATTTTATATTTTTTTCATCTTCGTATCCCTTTTGTATGCACATGTACATGTACATCCCATTCCAAGACCTTTTACATTTGTTTGTAACACCTCTGCCCATGGCGGCGCGCTTTTAACTTTGGCGGGCTAATGATTTACTCTCGAATTCGCAGCTTATTTCATCATTCCTGCCCGATGATGAACTATTTGATAGTCCTGTGGATTTTTGCTTCTCGAAGTCTCACTCCTACTCTTAGGTTCGTTCCACATAGATAAATAGATATCTGGAACAAAAAAAAGTGAGGTATCTCGGATTGTTTACCCGATCCCTCTTGTCTTCTTATATATCAATTTACAAGCAACGGAATCATGTATTTTTATCATTAGATATTGACGACATACTGCCATATCTCGTGGACTAAGTCCACGGGGATCTCTCACTCAGGAAGGCAGTGCCAATGCCCTATAAATTTTAGTGTCAATAATAGGAAAGCAATGAATATCCAACAGGTCAAAGGAATCCCATCCACAAGCAACCACAAAAGAACGCACCACCACCATCCATCCAACGCCGTCCGTACTATTTATTTAATAAATCCCCTCCTGCCAAAGAAAGTTACCCATAAACCCAGAAAACTCCAAAAACGACCAACCACCCTCCCCGAAGAGTATCGTTCCCTTACCACCTCCCCTCCACAGCTCCCAACAGCTCATCAACCCTCTCCCCCAACCTCCTCATCTCCCTCCTCTTCTCCATCCTCTCCGCCTCCACAACCCTCAACTCCTCCGCTAGCCGCCTAATCCTCTCCTCCTGCTCCGTCTCACTGCTCCCCACCCCAGGTAAAACGCTGATGAGGTACTCAATCTGCTGCTCTTTGACGATTAGGTCACGCGCTAGCTCGCGCTGTCGTAGCGCAAAGATCTCGGGGGTATCTGGGGTGGGTTCTGCTGGAGGCGATTCTTCTTGCTGGGCTTGTGCTTCTGCGGCTGCCGGGGTGGTGGATTGTTGGGCTTGTGAGGAGGCAGCGGCTCCACTGGTGCCTTTGGCGGTGGTGGATACAGTAGTTGTGGGAGGAGGGTTTTTGGGAATCTTTTTCAGTTGTGGGATTGCGGTTGGGACGTTGGAGGGTGGGGTTGCGGCGGAGTGGTCGTGGTATGTTGTTAGGTAACAGAGGGTGGCGTAGAATTGGGTTGCGAGCTAGATGCAGGTGATTTAGCTTTGGTTAGATAGGACTTCTAATTTTTTTTAGTTTTTGGTTTATATCTGTGGAACGGATTAGGTATACCTGGTCCAAGCATGTTTGGAGCTGTGTGAGAATGTCTGCCATCGTAGCTGATGTGGTGGTGGAGCGGAGAGCGGTAGCTTCCCTCGCTAGTAGTTGAGGATGGTGGGCTATTATTTTGAATATGGATAAACTGAGATTAAGCATATACAATTGTTTATCGCGATACGCATAGAACTGCCCGTTTCGTGCGGAGTTCGTCATGCGGAGTGAGCAATGTGATATCAGTTGAGAATGCGACGGGGAAGAATGATGAGGTCAGCAGCTGAAGCTCTGAGCTCCGGCTTGGCAACGGTCTGAACCTTCGATGCGCGACAAAGCAAGGGAGCTAATAGGACAAAATCTTTCCATAAAACATTATTCTCACCTCCAACTAATCCAATGATACATATACGTCCCTTTCTACTGTCCTCTCGGCTATCTGCCCGCACTCCTCTACAGTGTGCTTACCGGTTATTCTCCGATATTCCCGCTCCGCCCATACCCCCGGCTTCCCCGACCTCCCAGCATCATGACCTCCCTTCATTCCTCGACTACGCCGCGAGAACTTCTCTAGACCCAACAAGTACCACGTACGTCGGTACACACTACGAATACACTGTCCGTCAGGCCCTCCGCCGCTGGGCTCTCGACCTGACCCGCATAGGCGGCAGGCTAGACTCCGGCATAGACCTAGTGGGCAGCTGGCATCTTCCGGACGCAAACTCACAACCGCTACGCGTCATCGTACAATGCAAGGCTCTGAAAAACAAAGTAGGTCCGAACGTGGTACGGGAGCTAGAGGGAACTTTTGCAGGAGCACCGGTGGGATGGCGCGGCCAGGGAATACTGGGCATGCTCGTAAGCTCGAGGGAGTCTACGAAGGGGCTGCGGACTGCGCTGTTGAAAAGCAGGTACCCCTTGGTATGGATTTTTGCGGAGTTAGATGGTCGTGTTCGGCAGGTTTTGTGGAATAAAAGGGCGGACGATGCGGGCTTGGCAGCATTGGGAGTTGAGGTTAAGCATGCAGGGGAAGTGCAGGAGGATGCTGACGATAAGGTTGTGTCTGTAACCTGGAATGGAGAGGAGATTAAGGGTCTTCCGGAAACGCTTGGATGAGTGCTGACGACTTGCCTACAATGCTTATCTGGCCCAAGTGATCACCGTGCTCAGGGTCGTTCCCGCAGTTCAAGCAGCTAATACTGCTTCGATCGTTCCCGAAGAAATCCCGGACCCTTAAAATGGGGTGATACATTACCACTTTCTCAGGTGTATCATTTTAAAGGTACCTGATTCTCTGAGTATTGGATATTAACCGTGCCATGCTTACTCACTCTCTGTAGTGAGTGCGCCACAGCGTACGGAAAACCACACTGTAAAGAAAATATTTTCAATATCTTCATTCTTCATCTTCAAATAATCATCATTAATTATAACCATGCCTAAATCTTCTAATTACACTGAGGAGCAGTTGCAAAGAGCTGTTGACGCGTACAAAAGCAATTCAAAATTAAAAATCACATCTCTGTCGCGAGAATTCAAAGTCTCATATGTCACCTTGTATGAGAGAATCAATGAGAAGAAATCAAGGACTATGAGGGTTCCACTGAATCAAGCATTGAATGACAGTCAGGAAGAGGCAATTAAGATATGAATTCATCAGTTGAACATTAATTTTTGCCCATTCATCATCGAGCATATTGTGAACTGCATGTTGAGACAGCATCATACAGATTCAGAGACTGCACCTCCCACAGTAAGCAAGATATGAATATATTGATTCATCAAACACCTGCCAGATTACAAACAAGTCAAGCAAAAACCCATGAATTCAAAATGATGCCCTGGATCTCAACATATACAATGATGATGATGATATATGCAATCACTTTACCCCGCCACCTGCAGATTGATCATCAACTGCCTTCTCACAATTAACCTTCTCAGAGATGGTTGCAAAACTATGTCATCAAATCAATACAGCAGTCAAGACCTTAGAAGATGTGAAGGATATTCTTACACCTGGTTTGACAAGGCAGTTGAACAAGATCTTCAAGGGTAGCATGATCCAGAACTTCAGGCAGAATTGAACATGCACTGTGAGAATGAACTTGCAGATCATTATCAAGCAAATAGACATCAGATCATCAAATCCTCCCACAGGCAGGTGCAAGTAGATGGAGTCCTCACTATTAAGGATGCCAATCGCAAGATCGCGACCTGTAGAGCAGATGAGATGAAAAAGATGTTCAATAAGACTCTTCAATTGATTGGAATCAAATCTACAAAATCTACAGTCACTCAACCACAACAAGATAATTCTATAGAATCTCAACTTACAGTGGATTCTACACCTTCTAATGAGTATATAGATAATCTTTATATTATAGATAGATGTGATGGTGATTATTAATTAATTTTTGAAGATTACTATATTCAAAATATTTTCTTTACAGTGTGGTTTTCTGTACGCTGTGGCGCACTCACTACAGAGAGTGAGTAAGCATGGCACGGTTACTGGGAAAAGAAGATGAGCGGCGCACCAGAACGCGCGCACCCGCACATACAGATGTGCAAACACGCAAGACCCTGGAAATTATATCAATACAACTTGAAAGAATAGGCCAGCTCTGGGAAAAGGAGATAGAGGAATGGAGAGCACAAGGCGCATTGCAATCCACCGGTTGCAGAATAGCACCACGGCAATGCAACATCATCTGAGGAGGTCTAGCCAGCTTATTGAGAAGGAAGATATTCTGTTCAGTTCTTGAATAGGGTTATGACACCCTCGAATTGGCAAAAAGGGGGTTATTTACAGCGGCACTAGCGCCGAAAGCCCGCAAACTCCTCTGGCCAATTGATAAAATTCAATCTTACAGCGGCATACTACTATCCAAACAGACAATCTTAGTATATTGCCCAATATCTGTCTATCAATATGTAACTATTTTTTTAACCCAGGTTGAGTTTTATTGGAATCCTCCTAACCACGCTACGCTACGCGACGCTAATCTTCTACAACCGAGGTAACTTAACTATCTTTAAGGAAACGAGCGAGGTAGCAACACTACATAAACCAATGAGCTTTTCTTTCACCGAAGCAATACCAACTCCATTGAATAATTAATCCAAAAAATTACTCTGATTGCTATATTTCACTTTGCACAACGACCCATACCCACATATAGACAAAACGTAAAGAAAAAACGAATCACGATGTCAACAGCATACAAAACCACCGCTGCTATGTTCGCACTGCTCGCAGTTGGCCATACGGTATGTGGTTATATAAATATAGTAATTGATACCTATTGAATAAGGGTGTCTTGATAGCTAATTATTTAACCCCTTCCTTAATTATATAGCTTGCGAGCAAATCGTTCATGAGTGATCCGCAGTTCAAGGGCCTGCCACGGCATGTGGGCGCCTTTTCGAGAGCTGGGTGGTATCAGGTATGTAGTAGCTTTTCTTTTCTGATTTATTTCGTTTCAAGTTGTCGGAATTATTTCCGTTTGGGGCTTTTGGGTCGTCTGAATCAGGCGAGTATGTGGAATGATTTATTATAAGGAAGACAAGCTGGGATCCCCATATCCTTCATTTTGATGTCTTGTTTAAGATAATCCATTTGGTTTTGTTTCCTACATAATATCATAAGAATGCAAACTCGAATTTAACTAATACCCGAGTATCGGCATTCACAGGGAAGCATCTTCTTTCTCATTGTTGGTAAGTTTTATCTCATACAGGTTCGAAAGGGGGTATCATAGTCATCCATACACGGCGCCTGTCTGCCAGTAGGCTTTCATCGCCGACAAAAACGGCGATAAAAAAGGAAAAGAAATGAAAAGAGAAATTCGCCCAGAAAGAGCCGATAAAAACGAAAGGGACATATCCCCATTCTTCCTCCCTAAACTAACCCGCCATCGATAGCATTAACCAACTACCGCTGGTCCCAATCGGCGCAGGGTGCCCTATCCGATCCAATTGAAAAAGGCATCGCCGCTCTAACGTCCATCCTCTGCTTCGGTACATCCGCATGGTACAACAAGAATGGTATTAGAGACACAGCAGCCGTTGTTGGGTTTGCTGGCATGGTGCAGAGTTATGCTGCTTTTCTCTCGAAAGCATGAGGGATGGGATCGGGATCGGGATGTAGCTAGTTTCGGTAGGTGTATAGCATCAACGAATTAAGGGGCTGAATGGAGGAATTTTCGCCATGTATGCATGTTTGGGTGGAATACGAGGTTTCAAACTGATCGCGCGTTACGCATCTCCCGCTTTTGTATATTGATAAATCCGCTGTTCTCGTTTGTGGCGGAGTTGATGTACAGAGTATTTTTTTTCCCCTCTTCGCTACCTTCCTCTTTTTGTAAATGTCGTGGTCATAGCACTAAGGTATAAATAGCGGAGCTAGACAAAGCGAGAATAGACGACTGAAATTAATGCGCACGAGCACCTCGCGACCTTCAAGGAAGGTAAACCATCTTTTGTACCTAGAAAGCCCAATTCCAACCGTAAATAGGGATAATTTCTCTTCTATTCAACCCTTTAAGTGCGAGGAGATAGGGATAGCGGGGGTTGCAATATCAAACAAGTTGAAATCCGTGAATATCGTAGAAGCTGGCAAAGTAGTCGTTTCATCATCATTGATGCCATCCAGGAACGGGCCAGCCGTTCTTACCACCACCCTTTTCCGGCCAGCCATCGGGGACGCGCGAAATGTTGGGGAGAATATATCTGTTCTCGCACCTGACAACAGTGTTGCAGGTCAAGTTGCACAGCCCAAATGTCATACAGTAGCACTCTGCTGCTGGGGGACAGTAGACTGGTGGCATTTGCATGATGACTGTAGCAAAGCTATGTTAGCCGGTATGTCACCCAATATATATACCTAAGTATAAAAGACGATAATGCCAGATGGAATGGGTATTAAGGGAGAAAAATGGAAAAGAAGAATAAAAATGAAATGAATAAAAAGTATAAATTCGACACATACTATGCCACATATACTCCATAACACGCCCACAAACCGCATCAGGAAGATCCGTCTCCATGACCCAGCGTCGCATCAACTTGTAGCTCTCCTTGGACCTTTTCCTCACCTGGTCCCTAGTCACAGCGAACTGCGACGAGCACGGCGCCCCGACAACTGACGGAACAGGGGAATTTGGAAGCATTTTTTGAAACGCAGCCGCATACGCGGCCTCTGAACGTTGGCGATTTTCCGGGCCCACGTCTGTAGGATTTAAGGGGTGTAATTCTGCAGGACAGCCTGGAATCCACGTGCAGCGGAGGGGCGCATAGCCAACTTTGTATACATGCTGGAGGCGGAGAGAATGGATGATTGGAACAGCATCTTAATAGCAATGGGTTAGTTATGTTAGTTTGGCACATGAATTATGTATTTGCGAACTTGATGCCCTTAAAGGCTTAAAAAAAAGAAGAAAAAACAAAAAGAGGGAGAGGGAGAGAGTGAGAGGAAGAGAGAATTGCAGGGCATGCTTGTTGCAAGCAGTTCATACCGTAAACCGGATCATCGTTATGCCACTGATATCGATTACTATGCATAAAGATCATGATATCTGGGAGGTTATCATAGTGATCAATAATATAGCTAACCATCATCACAGAGTTAGAAAATACACAATATCTGGGGAAAAAATTAACATTTACTGACGTCAGATACACCATTGACTCCCTAGCTTTATTCACCGGCACGGTCAATTCTGCTCGTGGATTATCCACGACATAGATGTTGGCATGCCAATCTGAGAGATGTTCCCCGACCCACGTAGTATCATCCTCCTTCAGACTTGCGACAACTATGTCTTTGGACCTAACGAGCTCAATAGACTGTTTCCATGATGGGGGGAGTGTCGATGTAGAACTTATAGTATCCATACACACGTAATATACCGACATAAACAACAACGATAGAGCCAAGAGCGGCCTTGAATTGGACCTGCAAGAACGGATAAGCGCGTTCATTTAGCCCAGAGTGTAGAAGAAATATAAAAATTAACTCTTCAAAAACATTTCGCTAACTATACTTTGGCCATTTGATATTTACAAGAACTAACAATATGTCTCGCAGATGTTGTTGCTATGGAAGCCAAATTAGGGCTTGAGGTTGTCACATGATCCAGCAGTTGCCCGCCCCCGCCGGCCCCAAGTGGCGTTGCCGTAGCGAAGGCTCCGCCTACACGTGATCTCATATGTGATACCTAGGTAATGTCAATGTTGGATGTCTGAGTGGTTGTATTATTAATAATTGGTTCTATCTAGTGTGGGTTAATATGCTTGGTGCGGGGCGCTAGTCCGTACTAGGAAGCCTAGGGCTCCAACACCCCGCATTCCCAATGACAATGAATGAGCCTTTGGAAATAGTTCTGAGCAATCTTATTCTTTTTCTATCTCTTAAAAGACTGATACCTTATAAAAGAACTGCTACACATCCTTTCTCCTATTAGACTACTCCGCAAACAATCTGTTCATCATGCCGAGAAAATCGCCTGGAAATAATACAGCAGTAAATACCAGAAAGGTAAGTTTTAAGTTCTACTTCCAGAGCAACCCTCATGTTGATCTTCGCAGCTGCTTGTTTAACTACTTTTTACATTACTACTGCAATAAAGAAGCTAAGAATGGTTCTTCTAGTCTAATGTGACCGGGTATGCCAACTTCTATTCACGTACTCTATGGGCAAATATGAACCTATACTTAAAATGTTTAACTATTGATATCTTTCCCACAGGACCACCACCACCACCACCACCACCACCACCGACAACAACAACAACAACGTGACTGGAGAAGGTTCTTGCAGTGGAGGCAACAAGGTTCACAGCAAGGCTAGAATCGTTAAGGACGGATGGGGTAGTCGTGCCAACTTCCAAGCTTCATTTGGACTGTGTATGGGCCCCGACAGTCTTGAAGAGGGGAATCGTATTTTGGACGCTTTCCAAAAGCATGACAAAGAGAATGAAGTATGTATTGCATTTTTGCCTTTGTGAATAACTAGCTAAATGCCTATGTATTATTAGCATGCCTAATGCACATACTATCGTGGAGTTCATGTTTGAGCAGCCAGGGATAACCTCCGCGGAGGACAATTGGGCCTACCCCTACCATAGCCATCGGGATTTGTCTGGTTTCTCCTTTCATCAATCCTGAAACAGTTTAATGAGTACACTGATCTTGAGGCAGTTTTAACTGACTCGGCACTCTTCCAGCTCATATCTGCTTTCAGTGATTTTTGTGATATCAATCTGTCATCTTTGCTGGGTTTGCTCTCAAAGGTATATTTTATCCTTGAATGTTGTTTGGGATCTTTTTTTACACTTGGCTGGTATAGGCTTCTTGTAGACTCAACTTCAAAATGTCTTAAGAAAAGAATGCTACTTCTTTGTTAATTGAGAAGACTGTGCTGAAGCCTCATCTAAAGCCTCATCTGAAGGAATTTATCTGATATGTTCATGCTTCATTCTTTCATAACTTCATACTTAATAAGTTATAGAATAATCAAGCATGAAATCACAGAAGATCTGAATACATATCTGATAATTGCACATGCAGTCTTTGATAAAATTAAGTCTAAGAGTGATAAATAAACATCTCAATCAGTTTAAAGACTAATATTCATCACATATTATCATCAGATAAGATGCAGAGATTTGATATTTTCAGATACTATCTTTAATACTCTGAAGATGATATATCTTAGTAATTTCATACAATGAGTTAAGAAAGTCAAAGAAAGTGAAGAAAAAGATTATCTATATAACAGATAAACTTGAAGTACTCATAATATGAAGAGAAGACAATGTAATTCTCTTAAATACAATACTATACTAGGGCTGCTTGACACTGTCTCTTCAAATTAAGAGATTCTGAAGTAAATTTTCTGCAGAGACTCTGTGGCGGGCTGCGCCCGATCAATCATATAGACTATTCCGTTACACTCCATAGATTCTTCCGCTCCACTCCATAGATTCTTCCGTTCCACTCTCGAACACGTACGCTCCGATTCTCGGCCATTCTCGATCGCCGATCCTCGGCCGCCACGAACGCGTATAGATTCTTCCGCCCCGAAGCTCCACCGCGTACGCCACCACATATGTGTATAAATATCCACCCCGATCGCTGATTCCTACACTTTCTCTTTCTTTCCTTCTCTAATGTTTTTCTCTTTTGTTATATAAGACCTATATCTTAATGCCGATCTATTCGGCGTAGGCCCCTTACACTATAAAAACGTTCATCGTCTCCTTATTAGGAAACGATTATCCACGCATCGTCTCCTCATTAGGAACGATTATCCATCGAGAGATATCCGAACGCGTAACGACGCGTAAGAAATAGAGAAACAGTCAAACAGTTAAGCGGACACCGAGTCCCCAGATAGTCCCCAGATAGAAGCTTGCTCGCCAGTCGCCCTGGCCCCGCAACAAGATCTTACGAAGAGAGTAAGATCTTACAAGAGAACGTCAGCGAAAGACCCGAGAGTCCTGACACCCAGACGTATGAGATATTCATACGATTACACATCCGACGATCGATACAACCATGTCTAACGATAATATGGAACCCTCGAATGCGAGCATAGACGCGATGCCACAGTGGCTCCGAGCAATGTTGGAATTACAACAACAAATAGCTGATATGCATGCAACTCAACAACTCCAATACGAAGAGATCCAACGGTTAATCCATGCGATTCCAACATCTACAGAATCGAATACAAAAGCGCCGAAAGAACGCTTAGGTGCTCCCGCGTATTTTGATGCTTCCGACCTCACTCTCTACTCATCATGGAGGATGGAAATGCTCGCGAAACTGAGTGTAGATGGAGATGCTATCGGTTCGCTAACCAATCAAGGTTGGTATATCAATGGACGATTGAAAGATCGCGCGAAACAGAAGTTCCATCCATGGATGGAAGCATGTGAACCAGCGTTGCGAACGCCTGACAACATCATGAAACATCTTGATGTCCTGTTCCAAGACACTGCCATGCAACAGAAAGCATTAGATTGGTTACAGAGCGCCCGACAGAGGAACACTCCTCTTACAACATTCATCCCTGACTTCAACACCAAGATCCTAGAAGCAGGTGGTCAATCTTGGGAGGATCGAATGAAGATTAGCATGCTCAAGAAGGCATTGACTTTCAAACTCTTACAGGCCCTTGTAAGTGTAGATGAAGACCAGACTTATGAAGGCTTCTGCACACAGCTCCGGACATTGGACGACCGTCTTACCAAGCTCAAGAGTATACAGAACAGTGGCAGAAGACATTACATTCCAGCCACTCACACACCTGCGCTGAAGAATAACAACAATGATGCAGATGCTATGGCCTGGGTAGACTCAAATGTCTATGCACAAGCAAGGGTCTCCGCCGTCCGAACAGGCTTCCAGGTCCCTGGGATCACTCCCGAAGAAGTCGCCGATCGACGTCAACGTGGAGTGTGCATCAACTGTAACCGATCAGGACACATTGCTTCCAACTGCCGATCGACCTATGTGCCTCCATACTCGAGAGAAAGATCAGTGCCTCCTCGTTCGAAGGATGGATCAGCGCCTGTCCGCGCCAACCACGTTACATTAGAGGAAGATTCGGAAGATAACTATGAGGATGCCCCGGTGAAACAGGGAAAAGATTAGCTCCTGTCCAAATTCGCAAACAGGAGCTTGAAGAGGTCGCTATCAATGGACGAGATGCCGTTTCAACAGGCGTAAGCCCGTTCTTCCTTACACACGGTTATCACATGGAAGTGTTGGATCTCCTAGAGACCACACAGTTCACACCGGACCCCCGCAGTCCGATCCAGATCGCCGACAATATAGTAACGAAGCTCCGAGATGCCCGCGATTGGGCAGAGGCCTCCATGGCAACTGCGAAACAAGATCAAGAGGACCGAACCAATGTCCACCGAGACCCCGCCGAACAATATAAGATAGGAGATCTGGTATGGTTGAATCTTAAGAACATACGAACCACACGTCCATCTCGTACGCTAGATTACCGCCACGCCAGGTATAAAGTGATAGAAGTCCTAGGTAGCCACAACTACCGCCTTGACACACCACCAGGGATCCATGATGTATTCCACACAAGCTTGCTCCGCCGCGCCGCCACCGATCCGTTCCCTTCTCAGCTGACTTCTGACTGGCAGCCACCAGGCATCATAGGAGAAGATAATGAGCTTGAGTGGGAGATTGAGGATATCCTCGATGAGAGACCCCGCGGCCGCGGCCGGCAATATCTCGTGAAATGGGGATCAACCGACCTGGACTCCGAGTTCCGCGTTATCCGAAACAGCGGCCCTTGACCGATGAGAACTGCTTCTAGAAGGGGGGGGCTAATGTGGCAGGCTGCGCCCGATCAATCATATAGACTATTCCGTTACACTCCATAGATTCTTCCGTTCCACTCTTGAACACGTACGCTCCGATTCTCGGCCATTCTCGATCGCCGATCCTCGGCCGCCACGAACGCGTATAGATTCTTCCGCCCCGAAGCTCCACCGCGTACGCCACCACATACGTGTATAAATATCCACCCCGATCACCGATTCCTACACTTTCTCTTTCTTTCCTTCTCTAACGTTTTTCTCTTTTGTTATATAAGACCTATATCTTAATGCCGATCTATTCGGCGTAGGCCCCTTACAGACTCTACTCAAATATTCAGAAATTGAATTTAATAATTTCAATGAAAAATTAAAGCAGTATTCTTCAGATGTGTATTGAAATACATTCTCTCTTCTTTCTCTATTCATCTCTTTTCCTAATACTCAATGTTTTCTTCAGTACATCCTCTCTTAAAGAAGTTACATTCAAGCATCAAGGCTTTATCCCTTCTCATTCTTCCAAGAGAAATAATAGGTGTTCTTTGTTACCAGGACGATGATGGCATTGGAATAATGAATCTCTCCTTGGGTCGCCTCCAACATCTTACGGCAGGGACGGGAGGGAGCCCCGGAGGCGTACCCGGCTGTTGTCGTCGAGGCATCAAATGAGTTGTGGTTTCTGCTTCAGCTCCAAGTGTGCTTTCTTCTGAAGACATTGTGATAATGAAGGTGGGGCAATGGCCAGGATGAACCCATAACTATTCTGTGGAAGGTGTAAAGCTTGTATGATTGAAAGGTTGCTAGCTTTGTGAGAAGTTATATGGTGGAAGGATTAGTAAGCCAGATCACGTGATCTGACACCCCCACTCACCAGAGTAACTATACACAATGCTATATACAAAATTCGCCTTCAAATCAAGTACAGGTACAAAAAATGACTGGAAAATGTGAAGTAATGAAAAACCAGTCATAATATACATCATTTTTTATCCCTCTATTCCCCTATCTTCTTTATATTCTCTTTCCAATGTATATATTTCAATGTTCCAAGTGGTTTAGTAAGCTCATCCGCTGTGTTCTCAGCAGATGGAACATATCAGATAGATATCTTGTTCTTGCAGACAAGATTCTGAAGAATGTGGAAACAGACCTCTATATGCTTTAAGTGGTGTGGAATTGCTTTGGAAGAGGATAGCTCTATGACAGACTTATTATCAGCATGAATTGTATAAGCCAGTCCATTGACTGTGGTGGGAATGGGGTGATCATCGGCATCCAGATTGTTGAAGCAGGATGGGATGAATCCAGCATCTTCTAGAAGCTCTCAGAGACAGACAAGCTCATATGCAGCCTTAGAGAATGCAATATATTCAGCCTCTGTTGATGACTTGGAGACCTCTGTTTGCCGGCAGCTCCGCCATGCAACGGGACCACCTGCCATGTAGATGATATAACCGGTGGTTGAACGGGATCCTGGATCCCTACCAGCTCAATCAGCATCTGTGTATGCTACAGGTTCAATTTCGGCACCTCTGTGATAGGTTATACCCTCATTGATTGAACCCTGTAGATAACAGAGTGTACACTTGTATGCAGCTCAGTTCTTTGATGTAGGCCGGGAGCTGAATTGTTCAAGGAATTCTGCGGTGAAGCTCATATCAGAATGTGTATTGAATGCCAGATATTGCAGGGATTTGATACTGAATTGATAGAACTGTAGAGTAAATTCTACTGTGTATGCAATCAGTTTCTCATCATCATTCATGAAATCAACATTCTTCTTCATAGAAGTAGATGTAGAATGACAGTCATTCATTGAGAACTTCTTCAGAAGATTTCTTATAAAGAGGGGTTGAAACAATGTCAATGAAGTTGAATCTCTATCAATCTTCATTTCTAGATAGCAGTTGAAATCCTCTACATCCTTGATCTCATAATTAGCAGCAATTTTGACTTTGACCCAGTTCAGGTCTTCAATTTTCAAGTCATAGAGGTGGACATCATCCATGTAGATGATTATATAGACCTGTCTTTCATTGTGAATAAATAGTTCAGTATCATAGAAACTGATACAGAAGCCTGAGTGCAATAGCATCTTTCACAGCTCTTCATATCATAAGAGTGCTGCTTGCTTAAGACTGTAGAGTCTCTGCATCAACTCACACACAAGATCATCACAGTCTTCACAGAATTCTGTGAGTTGATTCATATATATTCATTCATCAGCAGGCAGTTGAGCATTTAAAAATGCAGTCATCATATCAATCTGCAGAACATATCATTCTCAGAATGCTAAGATCATCATGAGAGCTCATGAGATGAATGCAGAGATAATGAGTGTAAAGATTCTTGAGTAATTGACTCTCTTCTGTTGAAGATTTCTGCAGACAACTCAGCAGATCTTATAGTGAATAACATCACTTATATTATTGAACTTTTTATCAAATACTCATTAGCTGTGAAGAACACTTATTTGTGATGTTCTCTTAATCAGTTATCAGGTCTCTATCTGTTTCAAACAGTTGATCTCTTTAACATAGGTCTTGTAATAATACTTTCATTTCATGGAAGCTTTGATGCATGTGAGGTTTTTCAGAATCAGAAGTGCAGCAATCTCAGAATCAGTGAATAGGTCTTCAAGACTGTTCTTTACTGAAGATTCTCTCACTGTTGATTCTCTCACTATAGTGATATTTCTTATAGATGTTGAAGAGTCATTAAATTCAGCTGTGAGTTCTGAGAAGTTCAGTGTATTCTGCACTAAAAAGATAGATATTCTCACAGAGATATCATAGTCAATTCATCAATTATTAGTGAGTACAAGAAATAATGAACACTCAGGTTGAATTTTCTCATCAATGTATAAATCAGAAATTGCTGCAGTCTCTTGACAGACTGCAGTGAGTAGGTCTGATATCACTGAAGAAATCATCACAGCTGCTTTACAGACTGCATTGAGTAGAATCTTTGAGTTGTACATTGTAGTCAGTATCAATGAATCAGCAAGATGAAGATTCTCACAGAAGACTACATCTTTTGATATATATAAACATCTGTTGAAGAGGTTCATCAATCTATAATTAATAAAATCATCATAACTCACAAAAATCAACTCTTTGAAACAGGAAGTCATCTTATTGATGAGCTTGAGAACTATCTTCAAGAATGCTTTGCAACCTCATCAGTGAATGCTGTGTGCAGAAGATAGAGCTTCAAGTCAGGCCTTATATAATGTAATCAGCTTTGTATTTTCAGGGCCTTCATACAATATTATTAAGATTGACATAAGATTAAGCAGCTCTGTGACTGCAATAACTGTCTCACTTCACATCTTTTTCAGAGCTGAAGAGTCTATTAATAGTGATCAAGACTTCTCAATGATTAAACTGATTGATTGTTCAGATACTTCATCTTACTGTGAAGTATGAGAGAGAGTCAGCTCTCATTTTATATCTTCACTGAGCATGTATGCTGTGGCTGTATTTGAATTCAATTCTTCACAATCTGAGTGAATAATTGCAATATCACATCTCAGCAGATTCTTGATGAATTGATTGAAGATTTGTAGATATCTCAACATCTCATCTTTGCATTTCAATAGAAATATTCATCTCATACAGATGATATTATCTGTTATCATCATTGTAAGCTTCTTGCCGGTGTAAGATGATATATCATTCTCAGTTTCAAGAGTCTCATCATCACTGAATATATTCACTCAAACCTTCAAGGTCTTGCAGATGACATGACATGGTGTGGAATCCTTGTAGAAAGTGTGTTTCTGTTTAGACTTAACACATATGACACAGAATGATAATTTCTTCAGGTCAATAATGATAATATCAAATCACAGATTTCTGGTCATTTTTAATATACTATTTTCATTGATATGATTAAGTTAATGATGCTACTCATCTATCAGAAGCTGTTTCAGAAGAACTGCAGATAATTAAGATGAAGATGAGATAATAAAGAAATCAGTATCTGAATTCTTAAAGTTGATTAACTGTTCAATCTTCTCACAGCTGAAAGACCTCAAAGATTCAGCATTCAGATTGTAATCTGTTGAGATTGTCTTTGATTTCAGAACAGTCACATATGTCACTGCTTCATATATTAAGTTGTTCATTATCTCATGAAATATCAGTAAGCTGTTGAATAGAATGTAAATATTATTGTGAGACAGATTGATGTAGAAGATATCACTGTTGATAGATGATAGAAACTCAAAGTAGTTCTCAGCATCAACTTGCATATTATGATAAATATAGCTCTGACATTTCATCAGCTCAGCAGAGATCAGATTTGTGAATAGCTCTGACATATAGTATACATGATTGAATTCTATCAATCTTTCACTCACTGAGATGAATACAGTGCTGACACTCTGAATCTTTATAATGATCTTGTTGATCACTTGAACTGTTAAATCATTGATTGCTATAAGTTTCAAAAATCATGATCTATCACTCACTATGTGACATTCAGCGTCACTATCTCATATAGTGAGAGAATTCTTATAAGATTTTATAAAACAGACTGATACATTGATAATCTCTGTAAGGTTTGTCATCTGATAGATGTCTGATTCATCTGTAATGAATAGTTGAGTTCTACTCTCACTATTATTCTTTTTCTTCTTTTTCTTGAATTTCTTTATTCTCACAGCATTGTTTATTCTTTAATTATTCAGAGCACTGTCTGAATTGATTAATTAACAGGTGCTAAAGTGAGATCTCTCATAATCAGAATATGTAGATGAATTTCTCAATCTCTGATGATTTCAGAAGCTCTCTTGTATACTGCTATGACTATGTTCAGTACAGTCTTCACAGGCCGGATTCAATGTATTATTATTCAAATTGATAGATGTAGTGATCATTATATCTGTTATAGCTGTTATAGCTGTGTTGATCACAGAATCTATATTCTGCAGATTCTTTTTATCTTTTGAAGAATCAAGCTGTGAACAGATCTTCTTTATGAGAAGATTAATATTCAATATCACAGCTGTGAATTTGAAATTCTGTATCTTCTCTATCTTCTTCTGAATATAATTTCTTCAATTGTTGAGTAGAACTGAGTAGAAGATATCAAATATTCATACATCTGAGAGAGAAGCATTCAACATCTTTAATTTCATAATGACAGACTGAAACTTATTAAAGAATGTGTGTAGATTGATGACCTGTGTGCTATCAAGAGATATAAATTTCAGAACTGTCTCACAGCATAACTGTGTTTTAAGAACAGAGTATTTCTGTTCAATCGCATTTCATAGAGTATAGATGATTCAATTTTCATCATACTTGAAGAAATATGATCTGACATCTGCACTCAAGAAGTTTGAGATGAATGTGTAGAGTCATTGATTTCTGACATCTCAGAATAATACTCATTTATTATCTCTTTGTAGAGAGTTCTGAGTCTGTCATTTCTCTATTATATATCAGCACTGTGTATCAATCAGTTTCAATTTTATGAAGATGCTTCATATGATGTAATTGAATGTGTTAGTCAGACTGTTTGATTTCACAGTATTCTTGACATCTTTCTTAAATTGAGAGATTGCCTTGTCAACACAGCTATCTGATTTATAAAGATTGAATTCTAATCTTTTACTGAGATTAGAATTTCATGTGACTGTTAATATAATAATAGAATGATTGTTAATATTCTGAGATCAATCTGTAGAGAATCTCTGTTGACAGAGTTTTTCCAGTTATAGTTCAAGTTCTAAGACTCTTTGCTTTCTCTTGTTCATCTCAAGCATTATCTTAAGATGCTTCATCTGTTGATCTGATATTACCTTATCTGAACAGTAGATATCTGAATATTCATTATTCTCATCAAGAGAATCAGTATTAAGCTGTTAAGTAGATTGAAGAGCTGGCCTGACTGTGTCAGAAGCTGTATTCAAACCAGCTTCAAATTAAGAGAGTGTTGCAGAGTGTTCTTCAATGAAGCTTTTAAAGGCTTCAGAAGAATGTTCACTGGCAGAGTATAAGTGTGAAGAATCATCATCATCATCAACTGCAACTGATTCAGTGAAAAGAATGTGAGATTGTGAACATGTATATGAGTGAGATTATATTGAATCCACTATCTTGATATTCATTTATTGAATCCTTGTCAATATTGTTCTCTTTTTCTTGCTTTTTTGCAAATGTGATGTGTTTTCTGCAAGCCTCTTTTTTTTTAAGTGAGCAGTAGTATTATTGATTATCAAGATCTCAAACACATCAATACTGATAGAATAAGACAATTTTAACTCCTGATGAGTGTATCGAATGAAGCAGTAGTTCAAATAGATTATATTGACAAGGAATCCTGAATTGGCAGCAATTTTTGCGCAAAATGGGTCTCATAACCTGTGGAAGGTGTAAAGCTTGTATGATTGAAAGGTTGCTAGCTTTGTGAGAAGTTATATGGTGGAAGGATTAGTAAGCCAGATCACGTGACCTGACATATTCCTATTTGGGTCTAGTTCTAGTAGTACGCGGGCCCCCAATTATTGTGCAGGGCCTCGCGCTGTTTGGTTTTCTCGACCGTGGAATTGCTCATGAGCCAGGTCGCGATACAATGACAATGTCGAGGAAACAACGAAAAGCGAATATTTTCTTCTATGCTGCCTTTAATCTGGCTGAGCTTATTGAGCTGGCTCAACGACTGCGCAATGTGACATGCTCGTGTGATTCCACGCAAAAACCATTCAGTGGAAGTTTTAACTGGGCTGTCGTCCTCACTTTTGTGGACGGAGTTGAGTGGCTGTTTCGAGCGCCTCGGACAAGTTACGGCCTTGAGTATGCTGTTACTCAAGCTACTTAACGGCAACCGACCGGTGGAATGATTTTGTGACTCTTGACTCTAAGATTGAAAACAGCCGGAACAGGTTAGATTATTATGTTGCTGGATTGCGCCTTGAGGAAATGATACCGAGCCTTGTTAATGACTTGGAAACGAGATGTGGTGAACCCGGCGGCTTTCCTTTACACCACCCCGATCTCAGTCTGAACAACATTTTCATTGACGATCATTGCAACATAACATGTATTATTGACTGGGCATTCTCATTTTTTGCGCCATCAACAATACTTCTCTCCACACCCGGCCTACCACACCCAAGGGACGAGTGCAAACCTTCGCTAACATGCGCATTCAGGTCTGGGTTCATCAATAATGGCGTGACAACTTGCTCTGATGCCTGGAAAAAGACTAGAATGGCTTGGCTTTTTATGCGGCTGGTCAGTCTTGACGGCTTGCAAGACTATCACTATTTTACAGAGCTTTACTTGTTGATCAACAAACAGCCTGCTGAAGAGCTGTTTACAAAATTTCAGCAACAATACGCGAAACATGAGGTTATGAACATGCACTGGATCCTTTCCGCGGACGACCAGTCACCAAGTGAGATCAAGCAAAGTGAAAAAGTCTATTTTGTGAATGTGGGCGCTGAGCGGCATGCTCTAGCTCTCAAGATTAGACTAGTATCGATGTTGAACAGGTCATTTGTTGCTGACAGACAGCTTTGGCATTGGATTGAAGAGGTGGTAAGTGAGCAAGAGAAAGAAAGCCTTCAAGAAGGATAGATTGCTCATGAAATTGTGTTACCATGAGCTATATATTATTTCAATAGGAAAAAACCACAGAGTCTTATCAGCATACACTTGAGTGACCTTCAGCCATGAACAATCTGCCCACAGGAACCTCAAGGTAAAAAAAAAGAACAGATTCGCTCCAAAGCCAAAATAATCCTTATACTCCAACTAAAAGCAGAGGTGACCAGATAAAAGTATAAGATCCAGAAAGCAAATGTCAGGTGTCCAGGTAGTAAAGGCTGCAATGAGTCCCGCGTCCATGCACTCACAACAACTAGCCTATCAACAGGATGTAGCAATTAAGACAGAGCTTCTACCACATACACAGATCTTAGATCTTAGCATCCGAATCAACCTACCGAGCTACCACAAGGACAGAGACATTTTTCACTACAACATTCTACCGCTATTTCCTCCGGGTTTCCATGATATTTGTCACCTCCCTGCGCTTGAAGAATTCAAGGTAGAGTCGTGAGCACTCCTTGCCGGTACCCCCATCCTTCTGCCATGCTATATTGGCTTCTGCACGGATCTCCGCAGCACAATCCTTATAACGGCCGTCCCGATAGCAATCGTCCATTGCCACTACCTCCAAACCAGCCTCTTTCACCATGCTCTTTGCAAACTTGCGTGCCTCCTTGAAGCTTCTTCCATCGCCAATTAGCAGGTGCAACTCATCAGGATCTGTTCCATCAAAGGGAAGCGCGTCAAGACAGGCGAATTCGCGATGCTCGTGGTCCACGCTAAAGATGATCATGGCCCCAGGAGAGAGATACTGCGCTAGATGGTGGAGAAACTGCTTCAGTTTGGCTAGCGCAACCACCTACATCACCCACAGTAGAAGGATCCGATCAAATGTCTTGAATTCCAAACTCTGAAGGCGAGGAAATTGCTTGAGGTCATGCATATCTCCTTTTAGGAACTGGATGTTCTGCAATCCCCGGAGGGTGGCGGTGATGGATGCTTGACGAAGACATCCTCCACTTGCATCAATAGCAACAACACAGCCTTCGGGTCCGACTTGAGAGGCGGCCTGCGCGGTCACCCACCCTGCACCACAGCCGAGCTCCAGAACTTTCTGACCTGGCTGAATGTCGGCAAATTTTATAAAGGGACAGATGTCACCGGCGTGATGCTGAAAGCTCTGTTGGTAAAACGGCGCAATTGCATCGTACTCTTTCTTTGCTGTATCATAGTTCTGCGCAGTATTCTTGACAATTCGCTCGCGTTCCTTCTTCTGCTCTGCTTCGTAGTGTTCAGCCACGGTCGGAGGCATGGTGGCCTGCTGATACGGTTAGAACAGCACATGAAGATCCTATTCCTGGGACACTGCTTAGAAAGTGGGATAGATACTTACCAGAAAGTTTTGAGCCCTGGTAAGATAGACTGGACGAGGACAAGGAGGAGAGGGAGAGTAGGCGAGACAGCGATCAAGTAGTGGAAGAGGAAGAGTGCAAGCAAGAGGAGGTGTACGCGTTGTAACAACACAATCGAAATTGAAATATCTTCACTTCACTCTAGCAACACACAATAATCTAGCGAGATCAACAACCGACTTTCTGGCATTTCGGCCCCAAATAATCGGGATAAGAGCAATGTGGACAATGAGCCAGTCGATTCAGAGAGCATTGGAAGGGATTAGCAGCTGCTTCACATACAGAGGCCACATTCGAGTGGATCAAGCCACCCAGTTTTGGCGATACCGGGGCCTTATTGGATATGAGGTGGCAAAAGGGCTGAGATGCTGCATAATAAACAATGGGAAGAATCCCTAAGTTGTGTTCTAGTGCTGGCGCACATCGGGGTTAGACCTATAACCGGACTAACCTCATCATTTTATATGTAAATAAGACGAGGACGCTTTGACGTGCCCATCTGATCAGAAGACCTTTTCAAGGGCTTAATCCGCTTTTCTGATGGTCGGTGGTCTGCGTGAGATTTGTGGAGGTCAATTATCAAGACCCGGCGCAACTCATTGTTCCATAACATATCCTCACGCCGTAAATCATCGTGCACGACACCCAGCTTGCGGATTTTTTTTATTGATCTGGAAATCTCATTTCTCAGCATCGAGCTTTGCTCAACTCTTTATAAACTTTCTCCTCCCCAACCCATCAGAAGCATATGACGGATCTCCCCAGCGCCGTGCAGAAAATATATCCATTTCAGGTCAATTGCTCCTAAAAATACAGGAACGGCGGAGCCTTGTGCTTTCTGAAGAACCCGATATATATCTGCTTCGCGTGAGACCTCCTTCCATGAGATAGAAGAGTGTTTCCCCGAGAGGACGGAATCGGCCCTGCGCCAGTGGCAGTCGACGCTTCGACGAACGAAGAAATAGACGCGTTTAGCAGAACCCGCCGCCGCTGACATCCGCGTTAGCAGTAATTAAAACTGATTGCGAAGCCATTAGGCAATAATTAATTCTGCCTCAAAAGTGCCAGTTGCCTTCATTCTTACGCAAGAAATCTGAATCCGCCAGTACCTTTCCGTGAACTCATGATAAGCACTTTCATGATATCCAACTCTAGATATAGAACATCGTATCCTTCAGGTTTAGGTGGATCTGCACAATATCATCGGCACTAGGCTGCGCCGGCTCCGAACAATGATATGCGTTCACACTTGTTTGGACTGTCTTGGACAGAGCGTGTTGGTGAGAACTGGGGTATATAATCATTGCAAAGATAAACGGGCACTTCGCCTCACTGTGATGTCATTCATGGGAAAGCAGAGACACTCTTTGAACGGACATTAAGAAGTGGAAAATTGATCCATATAAATAGAGCGGCGCGCTCGGCCACCCCATTATTGTAACTTCTAGGAGCCCGCACGGCCCTGAAAGTATCGCGGAACTGCATTGTGGTGGTGTCTGCTTTACAGTTAAGCATGTCAATCATTGCTCCGCACTGTGACACTCTAGCAAGCCAATTACAATTCAATGGAGAGGGTGCGTCCCGTTTGATCGGATATGAGCCAAGAAGCTAAGCCCCGCTCAGTCATGCGGTTCGGCGGCGGCAGAGAGTTGGCATGCGGTGTGGGTTAAAACCAGCCTGGCATCCTTGGAGAGACGAAAGTGGCTGGCGACCTCTCCTAGAAGTGTTTCTGCCTGCTCGAAGTCCCAACTGAAAGCAATGTCTCTACCCTACCCTTGTTCCAGGCTCTTGTCTTAAACGATGCGGAGGTTAGAAAGGATCTCTGGCACTACAAAGGCTCGGAAATTGACTTTGTCAAGTTGCTTCGCTCGGTTTCCAATCTGCAGACGCAACTTGAAGTCCAAAACCGCCTGATGTTCCACCGAGAGACTGCTGCGAGAATATCCAAGCAATAAAGCACTCCCGGATCAGCAGGCTACAAGAATCAAACATTTTCTTTGATTCGTGTTTGAGGCGATGTGATACAAGCAGAAGATCACAGCTCCACACCCTCGACTGCTCATCACTGAAACTTTGTAGGCTTTCATACACCATCCATGAAATAGTCGAATTGTCCTCTCAGGCCTTTGAATTCCTCGTTGGGAATGCCAAAGATTTTGTGAACCAGCGCGGCCTGGAGTTACTTCTTTGCAGGGACAACATTAATAAGGTGGTGCTCGGCGACTTCAACCCGGAGAATGAGGATGAATTTGAGAAGTTCCTGACAAGTTTGTCATCTATTCACCTGAATACCGTTGGCTACAAAACTAAAGAATGAAAAAGCATATATAGAACTATGCCTTGCTCAGTGAAAAATGTGTGACACCTTCCAGTCATCAAGTCACAAGAGAGCTGGCTGCTGATGTTCAGCAGCAAGAAATTGAGATTCTGTGACCACTCAAGCGCGCCCGCGCAGAGGAGAGATTTGTCAAGAATGAAGAGATAAGACATGAGAGACTCATTGCATTATGTACAGTGAAAATTACTGACAACTTAGTAGAAATTCAATATATGTATTCAAACAGTTCTAGAAGTCACATTTCACTCTTGAGTGACTTTCTCTCAGATGCAGTCTGCACCAGCTGTCAGTGAGATATGGAAAGAAGTTTAGATGAGCTCACAACTGATTGTCTTACTACTCTGTCTAAAGATTCAATACAAGATATATTCATCACTTTATGAGTTGGCCAGGAGGCGGGACTTTGAATAAATGATATCTTCAAGCTTGTTCTGAAGTGGTGATTCTTACTCACTCATGAAGGACTCTAAATTGATATCTCTTTGAGACACGACTGGTGCTGTACTCTGATTTCTTATCCCACTTTCAAAGTAGTTTCTCCGGGGTGTTCAGGTCAAAGACAGTAATTAACATGTCTCTATCTATTACTCAGGTATCTTTCTCAGTGATGGGAAATAAGTGACTTGACAGATATTCTTTGCTTCCGCTCAATGCAAGCTTGTCACACTATTATACAGCTTCATTAGTTTTGATAGAAAGAACAGATCTTTTTTTTTCAACACTCACTTTGGAATCTGAATGTGCGGACATATCCTGATGATCTCATGAGTTGTCAGCAACTGGAAAACAAGCTAACCTCCATTAGATACATATGTCTTAAATAAGGCCTATTTTCTGAGTATGGCATACACAGATGCTCAGCAGGGTGCTCCGATGACAGCAAGAGTAGTCAAGGAGTAAAGGCCTAACTTCATATTTTTGTCTGTAAGTGCACAAACAGCACAAATTATATTGACAAATGCTGCTTAGGATACCTTGGTGTTTCTGGTTGCTGCCAGATAGCCAATTTATTTCATGTTGGCTTGGAATTCTTCATTCGAATATTTTTGAAAAGCCCCGCCATGCGAGAGCAGTCGCGCGTGAGGGGCTCATGACGTCGTAGCCGTTGGGCAGCATTGACTGCCACCGTTTTGGGCTGACAATAGGGGTTATTACTCAAATTTTATTAGGCACCATACCCAGCTCAATAAAGTGCTGTCCCCACCCTGGTCACGATCTCACTTGATTTTTACGTTACTGTCCGGGCCGCATCCATCCGACACTCTAATTCAAGCTCAACCGAAGCTCTCGACTTGTTATCACACCGTGTACTTTATCTTTGCGTGAGAATCTTGCTCTTTTCCTCATTCTCCACAAATTGACCCCGTCACCCGACTTCCTTTCATTCCAACTAGCGATATTTTTCCCTGGTCATGGTTGAGCCCGTTAGGGAATCCGTGAAGCAGGTGGATCCGTCCAGATGGCTTATTGGCAGCCTCATGCTTCGTCGCTCGAGCTTCGCTTCTGACACTGTCACCTGGAAAGATGATGGCGACAATTCGAATTACACGCTCATGGACGCGCCTACTCCCCGACCACCTACAACCCCTTTGCCACTGAACGATCCCCATCTTGCCCTGGTATACGATGCTGGCGATAGCTCCGCAGTATGGTCCATCGGGCATAACGCGTTCTGCAAAGTCAAATTGATCGTTCGGGGTACAACTCCTGAAGTCGCCACGTTGGAGTTTCTTCACAGTCAGCGAACAAGAGGATTTGAGGTTCCAAAAATTTTACACTATGTCGAATGCGGCGATCGGTACTACCTGTTTATCAGCAAAATACCCGGTCGGACTCTGATGCAGGCATGGCCTAATCTTAATGCGTATTGGAGAGAGTACTATGTGAAAGCTATCATGGAAATCTGCAAGAATCTTGCAGATTGGAAAGGACACATGCTTGCTGGCGTTGACGGTAAATCCGTTCCTGAGCAATACCTCATTAAGGATGGAGCGGCCAAAGACTACAGCCCCATGAATCTACAGAAAGCATGCGAGGAGATAGGCATGGACTGTTCGAACTTCGTATTTTACCACGCCGATCTTGGTCCAGGGAATATCATCGTCGAAAATGACCCAAAATCCGGGGCAATTGGCATCATTGATTGGGAAACAGCGGGTTATTTCCCTCGAGGTTGGGTAAGAACTAAGTTTCGAATCTCCTCTGGAATGAACCTTGGCGCCGATGTCACTGAGCCTACCTCATGGAGATCTAAAGTCCAAAAATTACTCGGGGACCAAGGATTTGAAGATTACTCTAACGCGTGGCAGCTATGGTGGTATTAAAGCTGGATCTACGTGTACGGGAGCGTATTGAGTGTTAGGTGAAATAGATTCTTTGGTCTGCTCTTTTATAACAAATGTTGACATCTCCTTGTAAGCGCCTTGACGAAATAGTCCCCCATCCACCACAGACTCATCCACGGCGTTCGATGCTATTCTTCTATAAGTGAAGAATAGTCAGTAACAGTCAAAATTCCCAGCCCAGTGGAACTTCTACCTTGCGTCGCATTTTGCCCTTAAATTACTTGAGGAAGCGGGCGGTTGCATTTGGTTCCATCCTTTTTCGTTCCTTGGCAATGGGTGCTACCCGTGATGTTGTTGTACCCACACGCCGGACAGTTAACCGAATTAACAAGCTCGATGAACATGATGGCCGCCATGTTGGAAAACTTTCGTCGTATGCGACTGTATGCTGGATCCTAGATGGTCAAAAAGCCGCTGTCAAGGGAATCGAGGGCTTTGGCTTACGCAAGATTTCTGTACCAGAAGGATCTAGGTCAGAAGGTAAGCTCAGGCGCTTGAAGGAGATCTTGAACCATGAGCTCTTTGAAAGGGATTATCATCAGTGAAGTTTGTTCCCCTTGTTATGTTTTCGATCTCACCCACACCACTTAAACTCATTTACAAAGCAGCTTCATTCTCTAAACAATGCACTCTGTTTGCATGATCCCTTGTCTGCCTCATTAGTGTTGTCATGTGCATGATTCTACCAATTGATCTCAGCCGAATCCAATCAGCATACATAATTGTTGCGTGGTCGAGATTCGCGCACTTCTAGACTAGCCAATTGTCAAGTGCCATGTAAACTCCACCTGGAGGGGAAGCAACGTGGCGGTTAAATTTAGTGTCCAGAAGCTAGCTGCCTCTGAGGATTCAACCTGTCCCTGCCCATCAGGCATACCAACAAGCTTCCTGAGGGAATTTAAGCTGTTATACACAGGAAATTGAATATGATCCTGGTCTAGCGGATTCCACTGCCTATGAGACCCCTGTACCTACCCACCGCGGGGTTTCCATGTGCTTCTGATTGGCGCGACCGGGAAGGTGTGGATGCTGAACCCCAGATTATGGACGGAACGGGCCGGAAGGCAACTTCCCGCGGATGACGTTTTTTCCTTCAGTCATGTCTGGCACAGATCGCGGGAACTCTCGGAGCCTGGGCAGAATCCTCAGACAAACAGAGGATCGCCCATGGCCAATCAGGGAGTCATCTCGTTAACCAATCAGCAGCTGCCAAAGTCCGGTCCGGTCGGTCCTATCCGGTCTGCTGGGCTTTACTTGCAGGAAGCAGAAAACTTGACCTCGCTAAGTGCGCCACTTGACCTCGTTATGTAAGCTGACCTCGCAAATGTGGCCTGTGTAGACTGACCGTGTGACCGTGTCTGGGACCAGGACCTAGACTGGCCGCCGGGACCATGAATTTCACATTTGATCCCATTTGGTCTGGTCTCATACATTTCTTGGCGTGAGTTCCACCAGGACTAAGCCTCAAAAAAATCTGAAAATGAATCATTTCTGAGAGAAATGATGTGAAAAATGATCAGATTTAATTCAAGAACAGTGAAATAAGAGTAATTTTTTAGAATAAACTATGAAAAATAATCATTCTTTCAAAATCAGAATAAGACTGAAACTGAAGATTAAAATCAGTCTTATTCAGTTCATTCAGTGATTACTTATATAATCAGAATTTAGTAATAATTATTAATAATATTTATAAAATAACTAAATACATTCTTGTATAAGTTTATTCTTTACTTTCTTATGAAAACTATACTTCTCTGATATACTGTAATCAGAGATATTAAACTATCTGATAATTTTATATTTTATAATTATAAGTTTTTTAATTATTTCTTCTTATAATTATTCTCAGTAATAGTGATAAATATTTTAACTTAAGTTAAACTTTCACTTTATTCTCATCTCTGTTAATAAAATTATCAGAATATTATATACTATCAGTATAATAGTTAAATATATACTCTTAATAATTTTTTATAACTCTAGAATTGATTTAATATATAAATTTATCAGATTATTTTAAAAATAGCAGTTAAATTCAGTTTTATAAGTATATAGTTTTATCTGATTTTCAGTTATAATTAATATATATAAGTTCTATTTCAAAGTTAGTATTATAGTTCTATATAATATAAAGTATTATCAAAGATTATTACTTACTAGAGAATTATATTTCACTATCTTTATATTTTAAATATCTGCTTATTCAAATCTCTGATAGTTAATATTATAGTAATCTTAGATTAATTTAATATATAAGTCTCATTTCTTCTCTATTCAATCTTGAGAAGTGTAGATATTAATTTAATAAAAGAAATCTAGTAAAGCTGCTATAATATAGTACTCTGTAAAAGATTATTTTATTTTATTATAATAATATACTAGTTTATTTCTTACAGTAATAATAGTCTATACTATAGTATTATTTCAGACTGAATTTCTTTTTAAATAATTTAACTACTTTTTAAAATAAGTAAATAAACTGTTATATATTTATCAGACTGACTGCAGTATTAATATATAAGTGATTAAAACTGTCTTTATTATCTTATAAAACTGAAACAGTAAATCAATTATATATTTTAACTAAGTTTACTTTATATTAAAAAGTTTTAATATCTGAATCTTTTTCTAATCAGAGTATTACACTTAATAATTAATTATCTAATATAATTGAAGAGTTTGAATAGTTATCTTATATATTAAACTTTATTATATTCTAATATTCTGTATTATATTCAGTGATATAACTAATTTATTTATTTATTAAATATTATGAAATTATTATTATTATTTAGAAGAGATATAAATTATATTAGTAATATTTTAAATCTATAATATTTAAATTATTAGTTAATCTATTTAAAATTAATAGTAGTATTATTAAAAAGTGTTATTAAAAAGTAATATTAAAAAGTGTTATTAAAAAATATTATCTTTTATAAAGTGAATATAAAAGTTACTTAAGTAATTACTTTCATTTCATTCTCATCTTAAGAATTAGTCATCTTATTATTCTTCATCTCAATATTAAGATTCTTTATTAGTATTTATATTACAAGTTAAATTATATAAGTAATACAGAGAATATAACCTTATTTATTATTTTAGAAATACAAAGTCAATTTTTACTTTAAGCTCTTTATTATAGTATAGTTATTTACAGTATTATCAGTTATAATTATAAGAAGACTGAGACTAATATCTTAATAGTTATTTTTAATCACAGTTATTAATATCTCTATTATATAATTCTCAGTATAACTATTAATTAATAATTTAAATTTAATTAATATCTCTTAATAAGTTCAGTTCTTATCAATATAATAATATATAACTTTTATAAATATAAGATTATTTATACTAGTTTATATATTTACTGTGAGAGATACTTTTTAATAATTCTTCAACTCTGATTTTAGATATTATATATTAACTTTATAGTATATCTTAAGATTGAACTGAAGACAGAATTGATATGAAATATAAAGATTTAAATTAAGTATTTAAAGAAGTGTTCAGAATTCAGAGTTTTTAATTAATTAAAGAGAAAGATTCAGAGATATATATATATAAAATAATTATTCATAGAAGTTATCAGATAAGAGTTATGAAATCAGAGTACTGATACAGAGTTATTTTTACATGATTTTCTTCAAATTAAAAAGTTAGTATTATTAAAAATTATTATCTGATAGAGTAACTTATCAGCTCAGTAGTAATTTTTTAATTATTTTTCTTTTATTATCTGTATTCTAATAACTTCAGATATTGAGAAATTTCTTCAGAGTTATAATCAGTTTATAATGAATATTTCTAAATAAAGTTACAGTAATTATAGCAGAGAGATAACTCTTCAGTAATCTATAATATAATCTATTAATAATTATTTCATAGTTCATCTCAATATTTGTATTAAGTTTTTCATAAATTTTGTAATCTGAAATCAGATGTGAAGAATGAAGTGATTATTTATTATAATTAAAAGAGAGTATTCTGTGTTAAATTGTAAATAATATAGACTTTGTAATTCACAGTGATTTCTTAAAGAGTTTGTGAATCTTTAATAGAAGTAAAAGAAGTAGAAGAAGTGAATTCAGAAGATATAATAATAATTTAAAAAAGATAATAATTTATTTTCAATAACTAATCACTGATATGTGTAAGAAGAATTAATATAAGAGAAAATAATTTTATTTCTTAACTTAGTTATAATTTTAGTACTAACTCAGATTGAATATTATTAATATATAAAAGTAAATAAATAATCTTGATTAATCTCTATCATATTTCTTGAAATATATTAATATTATAAAAGAGAGTGTTACTAAATTGTATTATCAGATAATATTATTAAAAATATATTAATATTGTGAATATTAATGTTGAAAAAATATTGATACTTATACATTATAGTAATTTGTGAATCATGATAGTTAAATATATATATATATATATATATTATTTCTGACTTGATTACAACTTGTACAATAATTTTTAAAAACTTAAAATTAATTTCAATTATTAATAATTATGAACTTATAACTAATTAATATAAAAAGAAAAAAACTTTTTCTACTCATTATCTTTCTTCTCTTTCTCATTCTTCTTATTATTTTTTATAATTCACTTCTTATTCTTCTTCTTCTTCTTCTTCTTCTTATCTGAGATAATAATCATCTCAAAATCTCTCTTCACTGCCTTCTCAGAGAAGGATTTCTACTGCTTCTTCTCAGTTAGATTAATCTATATCTCAAAATCCTGCATTTTCTGATCTGCTGTCTTAGGTTTCATCTCAGCAGCTGTCAGCAAGCAGATTGACATACTCAGAGAGCAGAGCTATCTTCTTAATATTCTGAATCATGAAGTGCATTTGAGACTTGAACAAGGCCTTAATTCTCTTCTTCTCTGTCAGCTTCTGCTAATCAATTAGAGAATAGAAGTATTATCAAAAATTATTATCTTTTAATAAATAAAAAACTTATCAGTTTTAACTTCTTTATCTTCTACTTCAACATTTTCTTAATCTTCTTCTACTATTACTTATTTATAGTAATACTCTTCTTCTCTCTCTCTCTCTTTATCTTAATCTCAAATTATTCTCAGAACTTCTTCTGATTTCACTGCTACTATATAAGACTCTTCATTATCTTCTTCTTCAATCTCTCACAGGTAATATCATTTATATTATTTCTATACTTAGTTCAGTCTAAATCTATCAGAAGTATTACTTAAAATTATTATTATTCTACTCTCTTACAGAGTCTCTTTAAGACATTATAATATGTCTTACAATCTATCTTCTCTTACTTGAATGTCTTCTTCTTCTCTCTCTTCAATCTGTAATAGTACTCACATGCCTTGATGATCTGCAGAATCACAGAATATTTAAAGAGAGATAATATAATTGATTTCAGTAAGTATTGAAGAGAGATAAAGACAGAAGAGATGATCAGAAATGATATAATAATAATAATAATAATAATAATAATAATGATAATAATAGTAATAATAGTGATGATAGTAATGATGATGATGATAATAA